ATAACACTTTTCCCTCTGAGTTATATACTTATAGCACTTTTCCCTCTGAATTATTCAGGTGACAATTTTTTCCCTAAAATGTTAAATGGACATATTTACTCTTAAAATAAATATTTTATTTATTTTTCTTCTCCAACAAATTATGACCACGATTTGGTTCAAACTGAACAGACAATATAGCAACCAAACCGAAATATTCCTATTACAATTTAGAATCGAAACCCGATATTTAGAGTTTATTAAAATCGCGAACTGGAACGACAGGTTCATGTTTCAAATTGGAAAAAATATACATTTATTGTTGAATTTAGACTATTTTAAAAATAAAAAATAAAATTTTAAAATAAGGTTTGAACCAGCAGTTCAAACTGGATCCGGAACCATGAACTGGCGATCCAAATCAAAACAAATCGCGGTCATATATACTTATATGTGAGAATAAAAATAAATGTAAAAAAGAACATACGCTATTTGTAAATATTATAATTCTAATTTTAAACTAATGCTAGTAGTTGTTCCAATTCGAACCTCCGGTTCACGGTTCAGAATCTAGTTTTTTCAATTCATAATTTTAATAAATTGAAATTCAAATATTGGGTTCTGGATCTGAATCATAACCAAAAACTTTCAATTCGATTGCTATAGTGTCCAGTTCAGTTCGAATCGAACTGTGATAATCCCTACGTATAAGTAATAATTTATTGAAGAAGAAAAATAAATAAAATATTTACTAGAGTAGAAATGTCAATTTAATATATAAAAAAAATTATCACTTTTAAAATAATTGAAGGACTAATATACTTATATGAATAATTCAAAAGAAAAATATGCTCTAAACATATAATTTAAAGGTGTCATTTTTCCTATTAAAAATGTAGACACCTATTTGAGGGTTTGACTAAAGGACTTGAATGTTGAGATTTGAGAGGGTAGAAGCTAATACAATTTCGAGTGCAAAATCTTTTATTGCCATTAAGGGGGTCTGTTTCTGAAAGATCACAGTGCAGTAGTACATACACCACAATTCAAACCTTCAAACCTGCAAATCCCCAGAGATGTTGACCCCGCCCATTCACTACATTTCACGCACACACACACACACTTTATATATTAACAATTATTATTATTATTATTATTATTATTATTATTATTATTATTATTATTATTATTATTATTATTATTATTATCACCTTGTTTGATAAAATAATTAGCTTATTAATCAATTTTAACTTATTTAACTTGATTAAAAATCAATATAAGTATTTTGTTAATTAGTTTTTTAACTCCAACATGATAAAATTTAAAAAGTTGCTCAAAATAACTTTTTCAATTAATTTTTTTAAAAAAATTTATATCAAACAACTATCAGCTAACAGTTAATTTATCAAACATTTTTCTACCATCATCTAATATTATTAACTAGTTATACTCTTTAATTAACCCAATCAATTAACAACTAACAATTATCAGTTAACAACCATTTATTAAACATGATTGATATAAATTCAAAATTCTTTATTATAAATTGCTTTTGGTAGTTTGGGGTGGGTGTGGGAGTGGGGGTGGATGGTATGTAGGGCACTGGCGCACGAAGCACAAAGCAAATTTAGGGTGACGCGTGTGGGGTTAAAAAGCCATTTTCAAGTCTGATGCTTTTGGGGTTTTTTTTTGGGCTCTGACTTTGCTTTGAGATGGGAGAAATTAGAATCAAAATTCTACAGGACTACAGGAGGACCCCCCCCCCCCCCCCCCCCCCCCAAAGCCACCTTGCTTTACTATATATTTTACCTGCTGCCTGCTACTGTCACTTGGAATTTAACCTAGTGATACTTACAATATATACATATACATGTGTGTATGTGTTTGTCTCTCTTAGCATCTAACAGTCAACAAAAGTAAAAATAAAGAAATACTATTCAGGGACAGAGGAATTGAAGTAGCTCTTTGCTTATAAAAGACAAATTTCTTGGAGTCCAAGAGATTTTACAAGATTGTAGAGAAGTAAATCACGATAACGACTTATTAGAATATCTCTTAAAAGAGTTTTTTTTGGATGGTTTTTTCTAAAGCAAAAATTGGATGGGAAGTTTTTGGCTGTTGGGGATGAGATATTTTGCAATTTTTTTCTCTTGCCGATAGAATATTTTTGTAGGACTCATTGAATGGGGAAAAAAGAAAAAATTGTAACGCTAGCTAGCTGCGCGTTGGGTATACTGCCGTGCCCAGCTAGGCGCATAAATATGACCTTTTTTTTTCGTGTGTGAATATCTTTTTCCTCCTTTATTCTTTTCTTTCTTCTCTCTATCCTACTTTGGCACTAAAAACAGTCTAAAAATTTTGACTCTTGGAGACACTCTTAGCCGTCATTCTCATATAAAAAGGGTGAAACTTCGACATTGCAGTTGTCAAGGCTTAATCTTATGTTTTTGTCTATAATTTGTCACCTAAGAACCAATTAAGCTACCTATGCGGACTTGAATTGAAGTATCTCCATCCTTGTACCATCTTCCATTGCCATTGCAAAAGGCATTATTTGTTGATGATGGAGTAATATCACTGATTCTTAGGGTAGAATATAAGAATAATTCTTAGGGTGAATGGAACACATTTAAACATATTTGATAAACTTTCTATCCATTTTATTGTTCGTTGGACAAGTGGACAAAATTTCTATTTGTTTTTTTAATGTAAACGAAAAGAAACTATTTGTGATTTTACATATTTCTAAAGTAAACAAAAATGTCTTTTTTTTTTTTTTCCAGAAAAATTCAACTTCAATCCACTTTTGAGTAAACAGACGTCAAAAAATATTTTAAGGAATGAGATGACTTAAAAGACACCCAAAAAAAAAAAAATTTGTTGTTGACAATCTTACATTTGGTGTTGTCATTTTTATCCCATTAATATATATTCCTTCAGTCTCATTTTACTTATCATATTTATTATTCATTACTTAAGTAAATTTTTTCTTTATTACTTATTTTCTGTAATAATTTTAATTAGTTTAAACTTAATTTTTTAGTTAAATAATATTTTAATATAATTTTTAAATATATAAATTTTATATTTTAATATTATAAAAAATTAAATTAAAAATCATACACTTAAAACTAGACATAGAGAATAATATATTTACCTCATATGAAATTTAGTAAGAGGAGATGATATAAATGATGATGGGACAATGAGTTTTTACGTTTCCCATGTTCACCAAATTACAGTCGAAAACCGTGTGTACTGTTCATATAACACATGCATGTTGTATCAGACATCAAACATGGTGCATGCAAAATCATATATACATATATTAATATTAATAAATAACAAAAAAAAAAAATAAAGCAATTAATTAAGTTCACATCTATCCATGAATTGATTACATATGTCTTTTCTCTCCAGCCTTACCGCTATGTCTCATCCATTCTCTGCTAATAACAAAACGTATGGTCGAAAAGAGTGAATTAAATTTAAAAAAACATATAATTTAATGAAAAAATAATAATAAAGTAGGAATTTAAATTACATTATTTAATTTTTTTAAAAAAATATTATTTGATAAAAATAAATTGAATTATTAAGAGTGAAAGTAGCGTAAGTGATATTAAGATTAAAATGCTCTTATATAATAATAGCTAGTTCCACACGTTCATGGTGTACGTGAATAATCTAATGTTTAATGTTTATTTTTAAATTAATGTTCAAAAATTTATCTGTTTATATATATATATATATATATATATATATATATATATATATATATATATATATATATATATGTCATTTTGTATCCTGCTTATATTAATGCAAGATTATTAAATTTTTCATAAAAGTAAATATTTCAAGAAATGTTGGATTAATTGGTGCAATAGAAATTTTAAAGGGAAGCACCCTCACTGGATAGTACCCTAAGCATAGTTTTTTGCAACACAATCATATTAATTGGCGTGATTCATACTTCCTCTTGTTGCCACATCCGCCAGAAATGAATTCTTGATTTGATCTGTCCTCTGGTGTGCTTCACTGCAATTTTAGTGCCTTACTGTAATGCACCTTCAAAAACAGATAGAATCAAATCCTCCTTCTCCCAAAAAAGACAATGATAATAGACCAACATAGTTTCTCATCTGTGTTGAATATATACTGTAAATTAGGTGTACCGTTTCATCAATGTACAATGCTGATTCAAATTAATTAACCAAGGTTCATGTTAAATTTTATAATAGAAGGTAAAATAAGAAATCTAATAAAAAAAATACTAAAATCAAAATAATATGGACCATTCATTTCAACAAATAATTACACCAAATATTTTAATTCCTGTTAGGAGCGTAACTTTATTGACTCTTATTAGATTTGTAGATAATCAAGGGCAACAAAAAATCATTTTCTTATTTTCCCCTTCCAGGCCCTTCCATGCTAAAAAATACTAAAATTTCTACTTCAGTTAAATTTCATTGTAATTGAATTACAATTCATGCCATTCAAACACTCCATAACTTCTCCGATCCAATTTGTTTACTAAAATATGGGCTTACTATTTTGCTTACTTCACTACTTCATCAACTTTTTCTTCTTCATTATATCATCACTCGTGGCTATAGTACTGTTACTGTAGTTGTTACGACTAATATTTTGGCGTACATCTCTTTTGATCCGATCCTCACACTTTACCTCCACACAGTATCTATATATATTCATTTAATTACTTGTACCCTACTACCCTACTACTACTACTACTACTTTTTGCCTTTAACAGACACCCACCCTCAACACAAAGTTAAACCAAACCTACGCTCTTAATTTTCACCCCATGTCTTGTTAATAATAGACACTAGTTGAGTTTGGTGATCTAATTATGTGCTAATTGTTTACTACTTTAATTTGTATAGTATTCATTGTATTGAATGAAAATAAATTAAACATTATTGATCAAATGGATCAGAATCAATTGATTTACTCTTTAATTAAAACATTTACTGATTAAAAATGTTTTTGAGTTAAATTTTACATGTTTGATTCATGCAATGCAGTGTAATAGATTGAGAATGAAAAATATTAAAGAACATGGAATAAGTCTAACTCTTAACTTTGGAAGTGTTATTACATTATACAATTATTATTATGTGAACCATATTTTGTGAATGGTGTGTGTAATTAGGTAGACTTGACAATTATCGACACGACCCGTTAACACGACACGAAAATAACGGGTTAGTGTTTAGCCTTAACGTGTCCCGGGTCGTTAACAGGTTGACCCATTAAGGACCCGTTATGTTTCGTGTATTAACGGGTCAACCCATTAAACCTATTAAGAACTCGTTTAACCTGTTAACATTATCGTGTTAACCCGTTAACACGAACCCGTTTACCCAACATGTTTATAGCCCGCTAAGAATCATCATGAATGAGATTACAAAGATATTATGAACATGACTAATTAGTGATGAATTTACTACATTATAGGCCAATATCCTACACACCAATTATTGATGTTCAATAATAATTTGAAATTTGAATTTTTATTGTGTTCCATTTTATTCTAAGAGTAAATACCAACGGAGGTCCTCTGACTTTGGTGGCACTGCCACTTTTAGTCCTCAACTTTTAAATCAACCACTCTTAGTCCTCTTACTTTTTGTTTCTAGCCATCTATGGTCCTTCCGTTAAACTTGACCATCTAATGCCGTTTTCTCAAGGATAATTCAGTCCTTTCATAATTAATTTATTAATTATTATGTTTGCCGAGTCATACCGAGATATCCCGACGTCGTTTTGGCACAACCTTCGTACCAGCTTTTGTAGCCATTTTGATTCATGAGCTGGTTTTGTACACGTTCATAGCTGGGGAAACCATTGTCTGACTATTTTGATGAGGAAATTAAACATAATAATTAATAAATTAATTATGAAAGGACTGAATTATCTTTTAGAAAACGGCATTAGATGGTCAAGTTTAACGAAAGGACCATAGATGGCTAGAAACAAAAAGTAAGAGGATCTAAAGTGGTTAATTTAAAAATTGAGGACTAAAAGTGACAGTGCCATCAAAGTCGGAGGACCTCTGCCGGTATTTACTCTTATTCTAAAAATTAGTATGGACTCCTTTAATTATGATTTTTGGATGTTATTTTATCATTTTATGAATTGAATATTTTTAAATTTCTTTAATAAATTGAACTGTAAATTTTATTTCTTTTTTTATAGAGCTTAACTTTAAATTTTAATTTTTTAAATATATTAATAGAAATAGCGGGTTTAAACTGGTTTCGTGTCATATCGTGTCGACACGACTTGAAACCTGTTAACAAAACGTGTCTATCGTGTCAACCCATTAACAAATCGTATTCGTGTTCGTGTTAAAAATTTGAACATGTTACCATAACGTGTCGTGTCCGTGTTTAGCTTTATCGTGTTCGTGTCGACCCGTTAACGGACCTGTATACACGAATTGCCAAGTCTACAATTAGGTATTATTTATGGGAGTGTAGATGATATGGAGATCTCTTCCATTTTAATAACTCCGCGCGTCTTAGTGTGTGGTTTTAGTGGATTGGTTAATGGAACCGACTTATACTTCAAGGTACTGATTTAGTTAACGAAAATTTTCACTTAAAACTCTATTCTAGACATAGGATGTGAATTCAATTCAAGATTTAATTGACTCATTACCTCCTCATTGATAGGACACAAATTCAAAATATACTCTTAGAGCATCCACAATTCAATTGTTGAGTTTTTTTTTTTTGTAGTTTTTGAGGAGTTTTTGTAGGTGTGATTAGGAAAGAGAACATAAAAGGGGAGAAAAAAGAAAAAAAAAATAAAGCAAAAAAAATAAAGCAAAACTATTTTTTTTAAATAATAAAGTAATAAATGTTAGGGGCGCACCTGAGCGGGCGCGTGCTGGGCGCAGTAGTGATGCTCACGCAACAGTGGGCACAGTAAATTTTGTTTTTAGTGGGTCCCACCATTTCTAAAATAACTCCTCATTTGCGGATGAACTCAAACTCTCTTTCTCTCTCTCCTACCTTTCTCTCCCTTTCTCTCTCTAATTTGTCACAAATAACCCTAAAAAAAAACCCCTGATGTTCTTAACCATATACATTTTTTTTCCAAAAGGTTGAATCCTTAACCCCCAGTTGCACCAAACACCTCGGCCCAACAAAGCATTTAGAATAATATAAATTATGATAACTCAGTAGCTCAGCAGACAGGACCAAATTACCCGTGCGAACAAGGACTATCAATGTCGAGTTTTAAACATTAGTTTCTTGCTCCAAATAATATCTACTGAACCAGTTAATTTGATCACTATTAGTTGTTTGAATTGGTTAAACATTCAATATGGGTGTTGATTAATTAGTCATTTGTAACAGCTTATTGCTCTAAAATGCTAAAATTAAAATTAAAAAAATTGTTTAAAGCAACTTTTTTCTCATTAGTTTTTTTTTTTTAAAAAAATATTTTGCATGTTATCAGTTAATTATCAGCTATTAATTAATTTACCAAACATTTTTTTTAATAATTAAAAGTGCTATCAACTAATCAAACTCATTGATCAAATCAGTTAATAAGTACTCCGTATTTATTAAAGACTCATCTTAAGTCTTAGTCGACACCCTCTTCATTGTAGGGAGGTCTTTCTTAGTTGCCTTGATTAAAACTGGCTACTCCGTACTTGTATTAAAATATTATTGTACCGTGTAGCCTCAGGCGTCAGCTCCCTCGCTCTCTGCCCTTCTTTAAAACCCCCACTCCCATTGCTTCTTTATCTAACATTCAAATCCCATCCACTAACATATTCTCCGATTGGCCAGCCATGGATGTATCTGTAAGTAAACTAACTACATACTCTTTTTCTTTTTCTTTTCATCTTTCAATTTCTTCATTATCACTAACTCCTCTTCTCCGGTGCCGGCGGCATCGCAAACAGGACTACACCTACTTGACGACCAGGAAGAGGCATGTCCCGGCGTTTGGGAACTGGGACTGTAACCAAGACTTCCCCATCCCCTTCACCCAGTGCTTCGAATCCGCCACCCAGGCCGGCCTGCTCCCGGGGGATTTGTACGTCGCCGGCGATCTCTACGACAACCATATCCTCACTCCGGCCATGATTGTCGTCCCCCGCCGTAAGGTAGTAATGCGGTGCAATGTGGCTTTTAAATTTGTGGTTTTGGATGGGTTCGGATTTTCTGAAAATTGTGGTGTGATGATGAACAGGGAAAAGCCCAATCGTACAACAATGTAGGCGGCGGCGGCGGCGGCGGAGGGAAAGGCCTAGAGGGAAGAAAAGATGCATGGGTGGTCTGCGACTGCGACTGCGATAACGCGCCGCCGCCTCCTCCTCCTCCGCCCAAACGCGCACCTAAGGCCGTCGACGAAGATCTCTACAAGATTTCTCCCGACCTCCTCTACTCTAAACCCAAACAGGTAACCACCCCATTATCAAAATTTATCCATGAATTTAGTCCTCTGCTGCTAAGGGGTAAATTATTGTATGTGTGGACCATAAATATCAAATACATTTTTAATATATTAAATGTACATTATTTTTGTAGTGAAGGTACATTATTTTTGTACTGAAAGTACATTATATAAAATAATGTACTCTTAGTATATTAAAAATGTATTTTATGTACATAAATAATGTATTCTTAATATATTAAAAATATACCTTTTATTTAAATTGTGTAGACCATGGTTCATGCAATAATAATTGCTGCTATGGTCACAAGACGGAATTTAGTATCTGTTCATAAACTACTTTCTCAAGTTACTGAAACACAAATAGTCAATACCATTCTCAGATTAAACTCATGGCCGGCCTCCTATTTGGAGAAATGACCTCGTGTCACTCGACCACTAAACCACAAAATCATTGATAAATATATAAATTTTATATATTAATATTAAGAGCGAGTATTATTTTATTCCTAGCCTAGCTTTCTAGGACTTATGAGGTCGTTAGTTATTTATTTTTTAAAGTACACTAACTTATTTATAATATCTTATCAACAATTATGTTAATCTTGAACTGGGGTGAAATTCGAACCTGTGACCTTCTTTATGGAAACAGTTGTTATATAATTTTTAACAACTCCAATTTTACTAAATATTGCAGAGGAGGGTATGGGGATTTCTGTTAAGTTGCCTGCGACCTTGTTCTTGTGCATGATGAAGCAGAAGGGGTGGTGGGGTGAAAGAGATGTACAGTTTCAAGAATTTATGGGGGAAACCAGACAGGATGGTTTATCATCATTATTAAAATGATGATGGGCATAATGATGGTGTGATGGATTCAAAAGTGTGTAATTTTTGTTGGAAGTTGATACTAATGTTTTGCCCAGTTACCTTAGTTATAATATATATATATATGGGTATCTCAGTATGTAGTAGTAATGTGAGAGAGAGAGAGAGAAAGGAACAGTTTGGGGGGTGAATGTAGCAGAGAAAAGTTGATGGTGTTTCTTGTGATGAACAGTAAATGAAAGGTGGTTTCTTGTTCAGTTGTTCTTCGATCTCCATCCCCTAGTGGTTGTTGTAATTATGGCTCTCTGCAATTTTTGGCCTTATAGACTGCTGTGCTGTTTCAAGGCTTTCTTTACTCAGCTTTTATTGCCCACACAAACCATACCCACTAATCTTTCATTCAATAATTTATTGCCACTCTCATGTTTTATGGTATAATTAGGTTACCGGCATGGCGGCTTGCCCTGCTTTTTATGTTTAATGAATATCAACTTTTCATGTATAATTTCCACTCTGCATACTTTTACCAACTATCAAGTATTGGCAAGTTTTTTAAATATTGTTTGTTTTGCAAATTATATCTTGTGTTATGTCTAAAGTAAATAAAATGACAATGCATCTTTCAAAACACGTACAATGTACAAATGTATAATATAGTATATTATCACACTTTTGGATCACAGTATAAATTTTGAAAAAATAGAAGTCGTATTCCGTAAGAAATGGTATAGAATAGGAATTATATTTCATTGTTTGATTCATTGAGTAATAGACTTTGGGTATTTGGTTGGATGGAAAACATCCAATGCAATCATGACAAACCGGCGGCCAATACTGCTACTCAAAGATGGATCAAACCCCTGCATGGCAAGTTTAAGCTTAATGTAGATGTTGCAAATGATCTTGGTAACAAAAGGACTGGCTTTGGTTTATCTTAAGAGACGAGGAGGGGAAGTTTGTTGCTGCCCTTCATCAACGATGTGATAGTTTGTACCATCCCAAAACAGCGGAGGCAATCGCAATTAGAGAAGCTCTCAAATGGCTCAAGTCTTTGAATATCCACTCCACCATTATTGAATCTGATGCTCAACTTGTAATCAATGGTCTTAAGGACTTCTCTTGTATTACCTCTTTTGATCTTATCCTTCAGGACGTTAGGTACCTAGCTAGTGATCTATTTGACATTAGCTTTATGTTTGTTAAACGATCCGCAAATAGAGCAACTCATCACCTTGCTTGGGAGGCTCTACTCACTGCTGATCGTAGGGAATGGAGATTTGTTCCTCCTTCATCCCTTCTTTCTGTACTCTCTTTCGACATTTAATCTACTTTGATGTTTCCTTTCAAAAAAAAAAAAAAAGTGAAGGAAAATGTTGGTTTATGTTGTTTGGTTGGATGGAAAACATTTTCCATTGGAAAATGAATTCCTCAAAGTTAAGGAAAATGAATTCTTTGCAAAGGGGTGGAATTTTGTTTTCCACAAGGATGGAAAAAAAAAATTAACATGAGTGTACCGTTTTACCTGTATAAAAGTTTCTTAATTACATAAGCACCTATTTATTCATTCATCTTTTTAAGGGCATATTGATCTTTATATTCATTATTCCTTATCTTTCTAAACCTAACCAAACAATAGAATCCATATTCACAGTAATTTCATTTCCACCAACCAAACAATAGAATCAATTTTCCTGGAATTTATTTTCCATGGAATTTCAATTTCATTTCCCTTCAAATATTTTCCAGCGAACCAAACGGGAAGAAGGTAGGATTGATTAAGTAATACTAGAAATTCAATAAGCATTTAAAAGACAGAATTACCCATAATAATAATAATGTATTTATTATTATTATTATTATTATTATTAAAGAATACATATGTAATACATAACAAAAATAGATAATAATAAATTAGATATTACAAAAAAAAAAAAAAAAAAAAAAAAAAAAAACTATTCCCAAGAACTTGGGATTAGGCACCTGCCATTCTTTTAAATAGTTATTCTCTTTGCAAAGGGAATAACTCATTCTCGAGAATATTATTTTCAAAAATAAAATGAATTACTAAATAATGTGTTAGTGTAATATTTGTATTAGAAAGGTAACTCACATGGTTACATCTTTTTAGAAGAAACCATTCTCAGATTTGAATGGTAAGGTGGTCAAAATATTTGTTGAAGTCATACTAGAGAATCTATCAAGTTTCTTTCTATGTTTATTGTTATATACTTAGAAGTTTTAATATTCAATTATACAAGGAAATAGTTAGGTTTATATTACTACTATACTTTGAGAATTGTGGGGGACGAAATTCTATCATTCTAAAAGGGATTAAACAATATGTCACTCAAGAGCTTTTTACATATTGCAATAGAGATTACACTCTAACATTGAGAAAATTGGTTACCAATATTTTTGAACGGGAGTTCACCTCTACACACAGAAGATGCATCTAAAGGAAAGAGAGATCTTGCAAGCATTGCAGCACAAGGGAGTCATGTTCTCAATTTTCAATTACATAAAAAGACAAGTGTTCACGTTCCGTACTTGTTTGTATAAATTTTAGTGTTTTATGTAATTAAAAATGTATAGTGTATTGAGCTTCATTCCGAACTAGGGTCTTCTATATATGTTTAACTATGTTAAAATCTTAGTGTCTCAATTTTGTTTATGCATTTTTATCTATATGTTTGTTCGCACTCATGATTAATTATTAACTTAATTATCCTAACTGAAATAAAACAAACGTATGGATATGGATAATAACTTTGAGAATAGTCATAGTCCATGTGGTAATTTAACCTAATTAATTATTGTAGCATTCATAGTTTATAGGGGACTAAAATTTATTAATCTATCAATATCAAGAGTCCAAATTTTTTTATTCTCAAAAATATTATTTCATTCTCAATCTATTTCATGAACCAAACATGTTAGCGTGAGTCATAACATTGTAATTTTGTTTTTTTTTTTTTAATATATAAAGTGCCAATATTACAATTTTTGTCTCACAATTATTTATTAGTATGAGTGAATATATATTTTTTTAGTACTATTAACTCTATTACAAGGTAGTAACTGTTTTATACTTTCTCTATCGCCCTATCAGTTGCGGACCAAAGAGTCGGGATTCGATCCTGTAACTTTCCCTCCCGACAACATAAACTTCTATACATTCACGTTTTGACCAGTTGATCTGATTGTGAGAAAAGTGATGAAATTAAAGAATATTGCAGCATTAGCTTGTTGATGCAATTGCTTTTAGTTGGCTATGTATTACAATCATTAAAGGATGAAACCTAAAAGGTGGTTGTTGTTCAACCACTCAAACAAAAATGTTTGTTTGGATCGAAGGCTCAAACATATATCCTCTCTCTCTCTCTCTCTCTCCTGTTTCCTTAATATCGTTTCGGAGAACTTATGAATATGAAAGCACAATATAATAAGAATCTGGTTTTGGGAGTTGGAGAACTTTGGGGGAATACAAAATAGGAGTTGTCACTGTCGTTTGGATACACACTGAGGAATTAATTCTCATTCATTCGTTCTGCAATTCCTATTCCGATTTCTACTTTTTTTCTTCTTTACAACTGCGCAATACAGTACATGAAGTTAACTATGCATATCTATGCTCTCTTGAATACATGATAGATGCATATTCTGGCAATCCCAACCTTTTTCTGGTGCTTTACCACTTTTTGGGATTCTACCCAAAAAAAAAGTGTTGAGATGATATGAAGAATATTACAACATTTCTTTAATGTTTTTTTTTATAGAAGTGTTATGTTATATAGATGGGATAAATCACACACCTAGCTAGTTAGTATAAATTTGAAGCCAAGAAAGACATTTTGGGACAAATTATGCCATGGATCAGGGTCCACCTTGCATTATTGAGGATCCTGGTACGAAATAACATTCAGATTATGTGTCTACAGTTAATATATTATGTGCCTACATAAATAAATTGAATGCACATAATATGTTAACAAAATGCACAAAAAAAAAAAAAGTTAATTGCAAGCACACCTAATATGTATTAGTTAACAAATTACGTGTCTTCACTTTATTTACAAACACATAATTTATTAACTGAAAGCACATAATATATTAACTGCATACACATAATTTTTGAATCAGGATCTACAATGCAATGACGACCCTAGTCCATGGTAGGTATAACAAGTGACAATTGATTACCTTGTTTTGTATTCACAAATTCCTTTCAAATATTGCAGTCACACACCCAGTATTGTGTTCACAAATTCTCTTCTACAGTTGTTATGTGTTGACTTAGAAACACAGTTTATATTATAGAAATTCACAATTCCAATACTAAAAATACACAATGTATGCGTCGTTTAGGACCAAGGTCCACCTTGCAAGGTGGGAAAATGGCTTGGAAAAAAAACCCCAAAATATCATCCACTTTAAATTCACAAGCGCAGTCTCACTATGATAAAAATATCAAACGCTATTCCAAAAAAAAAAAAAAAAACCTATTATTATAATTGAAAAATAAAAAAGTAAATTTGAACAATTGCACATGAATGTAAGTATTGTGAAGCTTTTCAGGTGCCTAAATTCTATTTCTTTTTAGCACTTTTTGGGATTCCACAAAAAAAGTATGAGTGTGATATGGCGGAATAGAACATTACTGAATCTGAATATTTCATCACTTTTCTTGGTTACCAGTCTTGGCGTATGAATCTGCTAAATCTTATTGTCTTCGTGCTGTTACAAAGAATCCCTGAACCGTCCAGATCAAACTGAAATTCAAACTGCCATTCTTCACTTTTTCACTTTTGGGACACATTATTATGCAAAAACAAGCACTACTCAATCAATTAAGAATCCACAACCCAGTTGGATAGAGTGTACTAATACAAATTATATGTCCTGAGGGGAATACAAGTAGTTAACATCATACATCATATACAAGAAAAAACAAAACAACCTTAGCTGGCTGCCTGGCTGGCGACAATTCACACCAAAACATCAGCAGTATGAAAGATGATTCTACGATGCTTGCAACGCCCTAACCCGAGCAGTGAGCTCCCTGACTTGGTTTCTCAAACGTTCGGGATTGCAGAAGAAATCTACAAACACCCGCCTCTGAAGTGCCACCTCCTCTTTATGGTGTTTCACAATCTGTGGGAGACGAGGAGTGATGAGAGTTGCCATGTACGAGAAATGAACGAATTGGTTGGTTACACTTTATGACATGTTAGAGATTGTGTTAAACGAAGACTTGTAACACTTGTGTAACATGCCATTAGGAGCTAATAACACAATGTAAACTTGGATGATAAAGAGAAAATTCTAACTGTAGTCATGAAAAGCAGTGCACATGTATTGAGATGACAATGAAGACATTTGTTAAGAGTCCAACGTTGACATGAGTTTATAAAGCTATATGTTAGACTAGCTAATTGATTGGATTCAATCTTTTAGTGTGGTTTGGTCCATGTGCATTATAGCCAAGTTGAGTGACCCTGGCCCATTCATAGATTTTAACATGGTACCAGAGCATGTTCGGTCCACTTTGTATTCACCCGGTTGTCTACCCATGGGTTTATAAGGCTATGGATTAGACTAGCTAATTGATCGGATTCAATCTTTAGTGTGGTTTGACCCATGTGCATTATTAGCCCCGTTGAGTGACCCTCGCCCATTCTTAGATTATAATGGCATTGTGCGAAGCAAAGAAGGTTACCTCATTCTTCTTCCAGTGCTCATGAGTCACTTCTTCAACTGCAGTTGAGAGTTTTGCATTGGCCTTCTCCATTTCATCAAGCTCTTTCATTAATTCCTGCAAGGATTACAAAATCATCAATTCGAGGGGGTTGCATAATGCTAGAGACAGCAATTAAATTTGAAACCCGATTTTAATATAATACAGACAACGAGCCAAAAGGAAAAATCAAAAAGCACAAAATAGAAACTTAGTAGCAGACAGATACCCTTGGAGTCAATATTGGTTGAGCTGTTGTTGATGATGCAAATAATAGTTGCTGTAAACTCTGGACAAGAGTGCACCTAGCATGCGACAAGGAAGAAAGTCAGAAGATGTTTGATGTGGATTGACATTCCCCATGGCATGTCTTGGAAAAATTGCATTCCAAACTAGAAGATAAAAACGGTAATCAACTTACAATTTGTTTATACATTTATATCTGTCCTCTGGAAGGGTATGCTCAAGATCATACTGTAATGTCATTAGGTCCGAACGAAGGCTAGATATCTGCTGAATAATGCCCGGTGCAGAAACATATGTTGATAAACCAGCTTGAGCATCTAAACAAAGAAACAACTATAAAAATACTACTCGAAAAAGAAAGCATCATTGCATTATGTATGTTGATTGCGAGAGTGATTACTTGAGTAAATGCTTAAAAGGTCTCTGACACCATGAAGAAAAGTGTCACGATCATCCACAGCCCCTTGTTCTTGAACATCAGATGCAGCTTGAATCAATTCCATACACCGATCCTAAAATGAAATGAAATGAAATAGTTTGTGTAATCTACAGCAAGCCAACCATAAAATAGAACAAATATGAGTTCCTTGAGGTGCCCAAAGACTGCTAGACTGCTCTTATCTAAATTTTTCTACTGGTTCATCAAACTGTTCTCTAAACAGTTATATATAGTATATTTCAGGGCATAAACAGTAATTAGGGGAACTCGTTTCCAAACTCAGCAAAATCAAATTTTAAATCCACCTCTTTATTAAAAACATCAATGCAAATAAATTTAATTCAGCTTGCATATTCAAAAATCATAGAGAATTCACATATGTATCCATCAAAACTATAGGGTTAATTCCAATTCAGCCCCCAAGTATACCCTTGAAATTGCCAATTATTTATAAATTACCAGTCACTATAAACTGTTACCATGTAAATTCATTATAATACTACTGTATATATTTTACTCCCTCCCAAACTTGAAAAGTCAAGTTAAACCTCATTTCCAAAAATTGATTTCTTCACAATCATTCATATGAAAGTCTAGTAATATAACTGGAAAACTACATATACTCCCCCTCCCCCTCCCTCTCAACCCCAAAAGCTTTAAGTACCTTGATTTGAATTATTAATAACTTGGTAACGAAAGGGCAAAGCAAATGATGTAGGAAGGTGTTTATTTACCACTCGGCCTTGGGTTGCTGATAGGTACCCCTGCAGCTCTGACTCAATAACTTTAAGCAATGAGTATGCCCCAAGCATAGTCTTCTTTTCCAGCTGGCATGACATTTTCAAAAACTGATGCCTTGAAAGTAGATTAACTAGATGGCTTATGAACTGCAAAATCATATACCATAACATAACCGTAAGGATAGGAAAATATAAACACATCTAAATGCATGAAAACAAGTAATAAATCAAGTTTATGCGAAATATTGAATACAAAATTCCCTATAAACTCCATATTCCCTTCACTGTCTTTGAGTACAACTTAAGTTGATACCAAAATATTCCAGGTGTGAATCATTTAACTCTTAATCCAAATTTGAAAAGTCAACAGTGTATAAGAAATAATATAATCTAGGAACCAGAAGTTGGACAATGGACATTGCTGTTTATATTTAGGGACAAGGAAAACATTTTCCATGTACTGAACATACCATCTTTTGCCGATTGATATACAATTCCTGGCGCATGACCTTTAGATCATAATCTCCTAAAACATTCCAGCAAAGATAATATTATAAAGACATCATTTCGAAATACCATTATTTCATGACCACAAGAAAATCTAAATAATGACTAGTAGTACCTTGCAAAATGTATGTATCTTGTAGCTGAGCCAGCTCACAACACAGATCAGGTATTGTCTGAAAGATGAATCACAGTAGGGAAGTAACTAAAGTTTGATCCAGTGTTAAAATCCAAACCATTCATTACACAATATCACAAATTTAACAAAGAAAAAGCCCGAATTGTGGTCTTCAACAAGTCTTGTGAATTTAAAAAACAAAGTGTCTATGCAAATATCAGAGACAACATGCAGGAGCGACAATAGCTGAGAGCACAGAGCTTTTTACAAGCACAGAGCAGCAATTGGCAGGTTCCTAACACAACAGTAAACAAGAAATGGGAAAAAGTAACCACCACCAATCCCCACCCTCTCAAGCATGTAGGACAATATAATTGTTGAAAATATGAACAGCACACTTGATATGGACAGTTTGTTAACATTTATAAAATACAAACCTCAGAGAGTAGCTTTTCTTCGTTACGATATAGGCTTGAAAGTTCTCCAACTAGTTCAGCATGCTTTCTCCTAAACAATAAACAAAATCTATTACACAGTAGCAGCAAAAAGTTACATGGCAAGGTTGAATTATCTCCAATTTGTACACTGGTGGTACTAGATACTAGTATGTCAGTTCTCAATTTTTGACAAGATTAGAGGTGCAGATTTCAATTGGACCTAACAAGTATCTCATGGAGAATTTACACAGGAAATGGGTGATATGAGATTTGAACTCAGGCCAAATGACTGGGGCTTAACCTCCCACAGGGCTAATCCTGAACCCCATATCCAGTAGATGAGTTCTCAAAAAATAAATCATAAAAATGATGGCCGGGCACAGCACTAAATCCTAAACCCCAAGTCCCTAAATCAAACCAACACAATAAACATATACATACATATTTGCCTTCTTTATTAGAAAAAGAAGGAAAAACAAACAAATGCTATCATGAATATTTAGAATAAAGAAAAGCGTAAGAATTGTACCGAAGAGAATGAAGGTCAAGATGAATGTGAGCTTCATCTGATGTAACTTGAGTCTTCAGTGTAGTTACAATAGCTTGTTGCTTAGCATTCTCTACTTGAGCTTCTATCCACTGCCTCTCGCTTGTACCAAATCTATCACAAAATTAGGCAGCCATAAGCCAAGGTAAATCAACATTCCTTGCAAAGTCTAAAGTCAAGTAATTAGAATGTGGTTTGGGTTTATTTTATTGTGGTCCAGTGGTTTTATCAAATCACACAACTTGGGATTGATGCTCAATATAGCTCTTGGATTGCAGACTTCAATTTAAGGTCAAGCATTAGAATATAAGCCAATATATAATAGTCTCCAAAATATTATTGCCTCAATTTTTAAGTCCAAAAGGATCCAACTATCAAAATATTTTATCAGAAAATGGAACAATTCCAAAGTCTAATTTTCTGAAGTCATCACAGTATAAATTTACTCATGAGAACATCAGAAAGTCCACGAGAAGTAGAACATACATGGAGCGAAGACGCTGCAATTCCGAAACACGCTGATGGTGGGACTTTTCTAAATCTGCCACATCAAAGGAACAAGGTAAGTATAAAAACATTCAGAAACAGCCAAAAACAGAAGCTTTTCTGAATTCCAGGAAAATGATTGTGTGAATTGCCAGGCAAGTGACTACTTGTTAGTTAGGACCAGGCAATTTTAGTTTAAACATTCCACCTTAAGTACCCTAAAAATGAAATGAATTAATATGAAGCAAAAGCTTAAAACCAGAGAGAAAATAGAACAAGACATAAAGAAAAATACCTTGTAATAAAACGTTTGATATATCATTTAGGCTGACCCATGAACATTTAGATTTCCCCTCCTCAGCAACTAATCTGTAAGGACCCTAGATGAAGTGGCATCACAATACCCAGACAAGAAAGAGAAATTATTGACTGCTTAACTATCATCTCATATCTACATAGAGCAAAAGAAAGAAATTCAAAGAAATAAAGTGACAGTGTGACACTGCACAAAATAAAGGTATCTGTACATGCTAATCTTGTTTCTAAGGTGCCTATCACTGGGTGATGAGCATGTATTATAAACATAAGAAAAGAAACCAAAATAATATGTTTTGACCAAAATGATGTGTAAGGAAATTTCCTTTAATTCAGACCCAATAACAATTGACGCAAACTTCTATTTCAATTCAAATACTATGAGGGAGGCAACAGAGGAAAAAAGATAACATTATGAGACTAAAAGTTAACATTTTACACAAACTTCTATGTCAATTCAAATACTGTGAGGGAGGTTAACAGATTAAAAAGATAACATTATGAGAGGAAAAGTTAGTAATGTAACTGGCTAACAGATTTACCGTGTCCAGATGCTTGGTAAACCATTGGTTTAGCTCCTTTATACATGAGGCATCCACAACCAAATATTGATGGAAATCAGAATAAGCCAAGTATATACCATCCTCTGCAATGAAAAAAATAATATACATTTCGGGTGATCCTTGCCATGTAGGTAATAGAAAATCATATACCATCCTCTACTAGAAATTTGTCCCCATTGACAAGACACAGAAATTTAGGAAAATATATTTAATGCATGATATATTTTCTTTTTTTGTCCATGATAAATGCACAGTAAATTTAAGAGTACAAGGAATTTTTTTAATTGAGCTTTAATGTATAGGTAACAAGCATCTCAAATTCTTATTTAAAGAGAATTTAGGTAATGAAGTTATAAATGTTGGTTGTATTGAAAGAAAGGGACAATTGTTTTTAGCATCCTAATATAATGTGGACATTTTTTTAAGGAAAGAGGGAGTATTTAATTTGTCAAACTGAACATCTATGGATGCGTGGAAAGACCTTCAATTTTATTTCATATGCACATCAGATAAACTCCATAGACAATGAGAAAATTTTAGACAATCAGACAAGACATAGAGTACCATCCCCTGAGTGATAATGTGTCAATTCTTGAGCTGTAGAAACCATCCTTCCAAGAACTGCATTCATCTAAACATAGCAAACCAATTTAAAATCTTATACAATAACTTCTATCAGCAGATTATTTTTTTAAACATTCTTTGCAAAAAAAAAAAAACAAAAAAAAAAAACAAAAAAAAACAAAAAAAACAAAAAAAAAAAAACAAAAAAAAACAAAACAAAAAACAATAAAAACAAAAACAAAAATTGATAATTCCCAATAGGAATAGCCATGTATACAGGAATACATGCCAGTTCCATCAGTTAATAAAGAACATTTTATTAAATTTGCCGCACCTCCAAATTCCTTGCTGAAAGGCTATCGTCAATAGCGGTCAGCTGTCCATTAACAACAGATGAAGCAGCAACTCTTGCCCTTCTTCCCTGAATTAATGATGAGGCCTGGCCAGTGAGCATGTCATACTGAGACTGCAAACACCTAAGCTGTTTCTGCAACTCCAAAGCTTCAGATTTTAAAGCTACGGTAGCATCCCTGAACAAAGAAGCATGCCCCATAGGCTGTCATTTTGGCAATATTAACAAACTAATGAAACTTGGATCATAATATACTGACAATCATGACACAGGTTTCATTTTTCTTCCAAGTGTAAACATAAGAAGATATAATGGCAATCACCTTATGTCTTTCAATCCTTCTTCACTTCCAAAAACTGCTTCTTGGTTGTCCCTCCTGGTTGAGAAGGCTGAAATGCTATCATAAGCAAAGTCTAAGTCCTCCCCCTGTTAAGCCAATTAAAAATAAAATTTACATTGGAACAGGATAAATAAATAAATAAATAAATAAATAAATAAATAAATAAATAAATAAATAAATAATAAAATAAATAATAAAAGGAAGATCTGCTTGATCCCAGAAGCATCAGAAAACGAGTGCAAAAAATGGAGCAAAAGGGAATATGTGACAATTATACCTCCAAGAGCTTCCCTTCTTGTAGAAATTGTTCATATCTAATGAGCCAAGAAAAAAGATCAGTGATAAAAGGAATTGTTAGTATATCTTGAATAAAGTTGACATAAAGCTAAGTGGAATTATTGCATAAAGCAATGAAACAGTAAACCCAAAGAAATTATAAACGGATCAGTTAGATCAAGCACATGAACAATTGCCAAATTGGAGAATGGGATGAAAGGGAAGTGGAGTCAAGGCAAAGAATGCATTCTTGCTATGACCACAACCCCAAGTGTCTCGTATTCCAACTTTATCAGCCCGGAACTCTACAAAGGGGTTTGAGATTCAATACCCTCCCAAATATGTACCAAAAATAAATAAAAGAAGAAAAGACAAAACATGATAGATACATTGGCCCAACATCACTACTCAATAATACTAACCAAATCTAGAGTGAAACCCCTAATCTCAATCACTATCATGATATGGCATCATTCCAGATTGCTTCAAGAAAATGAATTAAATTAAGAGTACATGAGCAACAAGTGCGTGAATTATGGTGTCACAAATAACACTCCCGTATGTAATCAAAATGAAATTCTCATTAGCATTTGAGTTTCTCAGTTTTGTAATAACTACTGTAATTAGAGAGCTGAGAAAAGAAAGGGGACTTCACTGGGAAACTTCGGAGGGCGAAAGGACGTTGGAAGGGCGGAGGCTAGAGCAAAGCCAATCGAGAATGGGTCGAGTGTCGTCATATTGGAATGGCCATTCAAAGCTGTCGGGATCGAGCGATTCGTGGCCTTCATAGCCCAAGTCTCCCAGCAGTGCGCACAGACGCGCACCGCTCATCTTTGATTGTTCACTACGACTGTTATGCTACTTTCACCGCCTCTCTTCTTCAGCAAAGCAGTGGGTGTTGCTTCAGATCCGAGGCAGAGGCGGTTACAGTTGGGCCATTTTCATTGCAATTGTGTAGCAAAACTGATAGGCCTTTCGGTGAGGGAGAGAGTGAGAGCTGCTTTTGGCGCCGGCCAAAGTCGATTGGGCGATTTTTTCATGAGCTTTACCAAATTTGAATTTCACAATCTGGGAAAATAGCCATTTTGCCTTTACTTTCTCCCAAAACATAGTAATTACGGAGTATAATAATTAACTAATCCGTATGTTTTTATGTGTGATGCAGGGAAAAGATTATATATTATTACTAATTTAAATATATATTAAAAATAATTTAAAAAATAACTGTTTTAGTTCATCTTTTTCTTTTTTTTTTTATGGTATATCATGGTAGTCATTAGTCCTATACAAATTTTGTCTTTAATTATGTTGAAAGTAACTATCCATTATTTATATATTTTGTTAACCATGCATGACAATTTATTTTGAAGTTTCAAATTATTAATGAACATATTGCTCATTTTGTAGCCCACTACCATGTAGTGTAACGGCATTTGATTATCGTTCAAAATGAGTGGTCAGATATTTGAACCCCAGTGATGGAGATTTCAAATATTAATTTGTAAAGAATTATGAATATTTCAAAAAAAAAATATTAATCATTTTGTAAAAATTTTGCAAATTTTCTCCATTAATGTTAATATATACGCTACTCTTACTGCAAAACTCTACAGAAGATTATTCAGGATTGAAGATGCACATATTTGTAAGTTTAATATGTTAGTTTATTACAACTTTTCATTTTGTTGAATATAAATTGCTCTTTTTGATATCTCATTTAGTTTGATAGGGAATATACGAGCACGACCGGACATATCCGTACAACGATGGTCGAGACCAACTATCTCCGACTACTACCAACCCTATTTTCCGACCTGAGTTCCCGATCTGAATAAGCACCCGATTGAACCCCTTCAACTCATGCCATATCAACCATTCCCAATCAGACCTAACCGGGAAGTCCATTAGCATGACCGATCACTGAGCGTTTTCCTCTATAACAACCCCAAAGGTACTCCTAAGACGGAAATTAGTCATATCACATCTTATCACTTTCCAGCCTCATCTAAACACTTTGAATAACAACAGTGATCGCCCGACCTACATCCAAAACGTGTAAGACATGTCGATAGCCCAACATGATTGCCCCTCCCCCCTCCCCCCGCCCCCACCCTATAAAAGGCGCATTAATTCCTAATGAGAATGACTTTGAACCTTGAACTAACTCTGACACTCCTGACCACATTATATTCACTTGTCGACCTCGTCCTTGATTGGTAGAGTAGACTTATTCACCCAATCTAGGGTTCACGAGATTACGAGACTATGTCTCCGACTGTATACCTTAGAATTTACCATAACAGAGTTCATACCTAATGAGTAATATATGCAATTTACTTATTTTAATATGTTAATTAACTGTTTGTAGATGTTTATACAAAAGGTGAATGTAGTGGATTACTATTTTAATCTAAATAGTATTTTTTGTGTATTGTTGTATTTTATTAGAGATACAATCTTTTTTTTAACATATCATGAAAAAAAAAACATATATTTATTGGACTTTAGACATTGGTTTTAGATTTAGTGCAAGTTGAGTGGATGAGATAATTATATTTTATTTGTTTTTAGATGAAGCAAATAATGGGGAAAAAACATATAATTATATAGCCTACACAAATTAGTAGCCAATAAACTTAGGAAGATTAAGTGTAGCCTCCAACATTTGTTAGTAGTCAGCCATATAAAAAATGTGACTAACAAAAAAGCAACACATCATTCTAAATTTAGGGGTATTGCAATCTTTTGATGTTTATTGGAGCAATATTTGATCTTAGGTACAAAATGAGGTTGGTTGATTTTGCTTTCAACCAGATATATAATGCGAATGATGCATGTATAAATGTGATGAAGGTTCGGAATGCATTATATGACTTGTTCTATGAATATGTTGAAATTGATAACATGAGAAATCAAAAAGGTAGTTCTTATGTGTCACATGTGGGGAGTTTGTCTGTTACTTCTACATGCTCTACTTCTAAAGGAAAAGTAATCATTTCTAGTTTGTCTTTGTATGATAAATATTTGGACAGTGTTGAAGGTGTAACTCCAAACAAATCGGAGTTTGACATTTACTTGGAGGAAGGGGTTTATAGGTGTCAAGATGGTGAAGTAACCTCTGAATTTGATGCCTTAGCTTGGTGGAAATCTCATGAATTAAAGTTCAGTATTTTGTCTAAATAAGCACGTGATGTTTTAGCTATTCCATTTAGCACCGTGGCATTAGAAGTCACATTTAGTGCAGGTACCCGAGTTTTAGATCCTTACGTGCTAAACTATCTTCTGATATGGTGCAAGTTTTGATTTGTGGAGCATATTGGGTTCGTCAACTTCATGGGATCAATAAGCCTATTATGACACAAGTAAGTTCTACTTTAGTAATTTAGTATATCTTATTGATTGAATTATAATAACTTTAACTTTAATTTATTTATTTTTTATTTTTTATTTTTTATTTTTGTAGGAGGAAGAAGAAGCCGGTGATGTCATATTGCGAGCATGATGGTTGGATTATAGTTGAAGTGTAGTTTTTCAAACTTAAAATTCTTATTTTATAATTTAATTTATGAATTTGATGATTGACCTTTTGTTGTTATTCTAATCCTCATTACTAATGGAATCCAAATGATCTCTGGATTGATAAGAGGATCCTTTCAGTTGGCTAGAATCCGTTACTTTGAACGAAACTAGCCCTTGTGGAATCATATTGAATATTTGACCATACATTCCTATCTTGCTAAAAAATCGATCCTTCTTTCCCAACCACACATTGCCTAACCAAAAATACGATTCGGGCGGATTATTCCCCCAACTAGGGAATAAAAGGAAGGATCTTGGCGGAATTTCCACATATGAAATTGAGTACAATTTTGCAACGAGATAGCCCCCTTGTTTCTCGAGAAGAGATGGGAAACATGCTCATCTTGTTTGAAGAATTCTTGATTAGTATATTAATATAAAATGTTATGCTATTTAAATTTAAATTTTTATTACATTTTATTTTAATTTATTCGAGAAATTTAGTAAAAAATGAAATTAGACATTTCGAATTTGAATATTTGAGTCTAATCGAATATATTCAAATAAACTGATCGAATAAAATACGAATCAAATTTGGAATTCGAATATCAAATGAATATGAATACGAATATTCATCAATATAGGGGATAATCCTTATAGGAAAAAAATGAACGTTTCAAAAAAGAAAAATTAAAAGTAAATTGTCACCTATAAATTCAAAAAAAAATAAAATGGAATTAACTCTTATGAGTTATGAATAAAGTTATGGTGGATTCTAGTTAGGATTTAGGATAAAGTAGGGTAAACTAGAAAAACAGTTGGTAGTTAAGAAACTCCCGCGGATATCCAACATTTGAAGAATACCAAACCACTCTCTTCTCACAACCAGAACCTGAAACAATCCCTTTCCTAGCTTCTCCCCCAAACTTCCTAAAACCCTCTTCTTTCTTCTTCAATTCCCCTCTTTTGCTTCTCAAGCAAAGCATCCATCTTCTCCTCTGCTTTTCCCAATACATATATAAACCCAAATGAATCTCCTTTCACAACACAACAAATTCGCATCCCCAAATCTCAACGACATTCATATCAGATACCCAAATCTTTTTCACCAAAAATGGCCTCATCAGAACCGGCGCCGGTCGATACACCAGTTACCCTTTCCAAGTATACAAACAGGGTGACATTGAAAACTGTATTTGAACGTAACGATGGTGGAATGGGATTTGCTGGCCGGAGAATAGTGATTGGAGGGTGGGTTAAGTCCTCCAGGGAGATCAGGAAGGACCCGGCTCCGGCTCCGGCTCCGGAGGCTGTGGAGACTAAAGACGTGAGCTGTGTGGAGGTTCTTCAATCCCGAATCCCACTTATCAGGTCAATCATGAAGGTTTTCGGAGGAGGGGGAGAATATCGGATTCGTGAGAAGTTGGACTCTGCTGTGCAAAAACTGCCCCAGCCATCAGTTTCATTTTTGCAACTCAGTGATGGCTCCTGCGTGCAGAGTCTTCAGGTATACTCGATACGCTCACTTTCTGTTCGACAAAATGTCTCTTCGTTTTTTGTCTTTTCTTATGCGAATAGAAACTTGAAAAAAAAATGCAATTTTAGTCTCTCAATTGTTCATGGCTAGCTATTTTAGTCGCTAACTTTTTGCCAAGGCAATATACACTCCTAACTTTTCAAAAAAACTGCATTTTTTAACAAAACTATTAAACTCTATTAAAATTTTACTTTGTACATGGATATTTAAAAATTTTATTATCTTTGTTCTTTTTAACATTGTCAATTTTGGCATTTCATAACAACATTTTTCGCTAAATTTTTTCTTTTTTAATTGTGGCATATCATCCTTATTTTCTCTACATGATCTTGTTAAAATCATGTTTTTTATTTTACAAATGAAATATTGAGACTAAACAAGATTTATACTCAAAGAAGAAACATTACAAAGTATTAAAATATTTATGTACTAAGTAAAATTTTAATAGAATTTAATAGTTTATTGTTCCATGGGTTAAAACTGCTACTTTTTGAAGAGTTAAAAGTATATATATATTATAATGGTAAAAAGTTAGTGACTAAAACCGTTAACAAAGAATAATTGGGAGATTAAAATTACATTTTTTCTAAAAAACTTTTTAAAATTACAAATGTACGGTGTATATTGTAGGTAGTGGTGGACTCTGAGCTGGCTCGTCCTTGCCAAGTTATGCCTACTGGAACATGCATATTAGCAGAAGGTATATTGCAGCAGGTATCTTTGAAGGGGAAACATGTTATTGAACTCAAAGCAGACAAAGTTTTACATCTTGGAACAGTTGACCAAAATAAGTATCCACTATCAAGAAAACGCTTGCCTCTGGAGTTGTTAAGGGATTGTTGTCACTTCCGGACAAGAACAACAACGGTGATACTCTTTTCACTTTTCGCTTTTTCACTCACACATCCTTTCTACTAATATCACCTTAGGATTTGTCTGCTTGCTTTACATCTTGTTTGGTAACATAGCTGTTAAGTCAATTTTAGCTGGTTTGATTGGTCAATATACTATTTAAATGTTTATAAAATGGCTTATTACAAATTGAGTCTTATTACTATATAGAAGCTTCTCATAGATCATACAAATATTAACATACCGGGAACTTATTTAGTTGCTCTTTACTTTTCTTTGGTGTTAAGGTTGTTGAATGTCCAATGTTTCTTTAGTTATCGAGTTGCTTGGTTTTGCAGGTGGCATCTGTTATGCGAATCCGTAATGCCCTTACACAGGCAACGCATTCCTTCTTTCAAGATAATGAATTTCTCTTTGTGCAAGTGCCTGTAATTACTAGCACTGTCTTTGAAGAATGTAGCAAAAGATTTCTAGTCACTACTGTAGTACCCAAGGATGGTAGTGCAGATGGCATCAGTCTTGAAGCCATCAAAGCTTCTATCAAAGAAAAATCCAAACAAATAGAAGAACTTAGAAGAACCGAAAGCAACAAGGAAGCCGTGGTTGCAGCAGTTCAGGATCTAAAGAAAACGACTGAGCTTGTATCAAAGTTAGAAGCTAAGGGAAAACCAAAATCGGGAACTTCACTTGAAGAAGATAGAATTGATCTCTGTCAAGATTTCTTTTCTAGCCAGATGTATTTGACTGCTTCTGGCCGGCTTCATTTGGAGAGTCAAGCATGTGCACTTGGAAATGTTTACACATATGGTCCCAGGTTCCGAGCTGAGAAATCGGAATCAAAGAAGTCGTTAATAGAGATGTGGATGTTTGAGACTGAAATAGCTTTCTCTGCATTAGAGGTATTCAGAAGAACCACTCAATTTCTGTCCAAGATGGTTTAATGAAATAGGTATTTTTCCATGCTATGTTACCCATTTTTTGGATTCCAGGATGCCATGGAGTGTGCAGAGGACCTGTTGAAGTTTGTTTGCAAATACGTTCTAGAGAAGTCCGCTGAAGATGTAAACTTTCTTTCGAAGCGAGTTGATAAAACTATTGTGGAGAACCTCCAGTTCATGACATCAGGTTCGCTTGAAAAGATTTCTTATACAGAAGCCGTGGAGATTTTGAAACAGGTAAAGGTCTTTTTTTGTCACGTACTCACGTTCATTGAGTGCTTTGCTAAATCTTCTTGTAAAAATCAAAACACTACGCATTCTTGATATTGTAAACAGGTCACTGAAAAGAAATTTGAAAGCAATATAGAGTGGGGAGTTCCCTTGAGTGATGAACACACCAGGTATAGAATCAGTTTTTAATGGCATAGGATTTATCCAAATTTAAGTTCTCATTCAGCATTGTGTTATGGGTGATAGCTATCTGGTGGACGAGATTTATAAAAGGCCGGTCATTATATATAACCATCCAAAAGAAGTGAAGCCGTTCTATGTGCGCCTCAATGATGATGCAAAAACAGTAGCAGCATTCGATCTACTTTTGCCAAAGGTAATTGAAACAATCAATTCCTTCGTTTTCCTTTTCAACCCCGGTTGCTGCAATTCCCATCGTTTACTGATCTCGAGCCCAAGCGGTTTCAGGTTGGAACTCTAGTTAGAGGAAGCCAGAGTGAGGAACGCCTTAATATTCTTAGCTCGAGGTAAGGGCACTTCACTTTACACTGCCCATTTCCTTTATTTTTTTGGTCAGACCACGAGGTGTCCTGAGCAGGTCCTAACTGTAGGAGGCACCTTTAAGCCCGTACCATACTCAGACTAATCCCCGTACCTAACTGTTTGGCCGTTTCCTTTATTGCCTGCTCTTCACCGTACCTTTTCCAATGTCTCTTTCAAATGTTTTCAGGATTGAGGAACTCGGGTTGTCTAAACAAGAATACGAGTGGTACTTGGATCTTCGCAGGCATGGCGCTGTCAAGAATTCCGGTTTCAGCCTAATGCTTGACTCGCTCGTTCTCTTTGCCACCGGGCTCAGTGATATCAGAGATGTTGTTCCCTTCCCCATAAGTCCTGGCAAAGCCAGTGCTTAAGCTTTTCGGTGAAGGAAATTCCTAAAGATCAATCAATGGCTACTCTGAGAGTAACTAATCTGTAATGCTTGTCCGTGTACACATTTGATGCTTTGTCAACATCAAATTCTCACACATATGGATACAGAATTACAGATGTTTGTTACAAGAATTAGTGGCTAATGCCTTAATGCAAAATCTCTTTTCAACCCTCTCTTCACCTTTATGTGTTCCTTACTTCCTTTGGCTCTACACATTTCAAATTACTAGTACTAAATTATATTATAAATAAATAAAATGATAAATAATATAAGTTAATAAAATAAATGACATTATTTAAATCACAAGTAGAAGTAGATTTTGGACAAGACTTTCACTTTTCTTTTTCACCCAATAATATTCATACACATAGCGAAAATTATACTTTATGAGATATACTATTTTCTCATATCCTAAGTTATTCTTATGAATAAATTCTTATTTCCAAAGATTATTGCACATATTTTTGGCAAATTATATTGTGCGTTCTGGCCCAAAACGACGTCGATTTGTACCTTAAGCAAAACGACGTCATTTTTGGACCATGGTCCACACAATAATTATTGATAAGCATTGAAACACCGGCAAATTATGCTGTGGAATCGTGTGCACCTTGCAAGGTGGACACAGTTCCAAAACTGTCATAATTGTGAATATAGAGTTCAAAAATTATGAACATAGAGTTCTATAATTATGAACATGGAGTTCTATAATTATGAATATAGAGTTCAATAATTATGAATATGAAGTTCAAACATGATAAACATAGTGTTTTATAATTATGAATATAGAGTTTAATACTTAGGAATATAGAACCGTGTCCACCTTGCAAGATAGACATGACTTCACGTCATAACAAATTAACAATTGTGGAACACCCTTGTGAAATATGGGCTGCAATGTGGGCTTTAGCATTACAAGTTAAATCAGATCCAATTTGGAATATTGGATTAGGGATTTCGTCAATATAAAATGAGTAAAACCCTAGGTCATCGTTCAATCCTCACTCCGAAGGAGCTTTCAACGCAGCGTCGCAACCAGGTTTGATACCTCATCTATACTCAGCTTATAAGTGTATGTTATATAGTTGTTTCATTGTACAGCTTGGTTAACATGTAAGTCGTTTCTTTTGCTGTTTTTGTTTTTTTATGTGGTTAGAAATCTACCTGTTTCTCAATTGAACTGTTTCCTTTCGAAATCATGTATCTACGGATTTGTATGTTTTAGAGGCTATTAATATAAATCAGTTATTTCCGAAGATTATTGCATAGCGTTTTCGATGTTAGTGCGTAGAGTGGTGTTTTTGCTTTACATTTGCAAGTATGGTGTTAAAAATTTGACAGCTTTTCTTTGATATGTCAATGATCAAAAGTAATGAAATGGGTGAATCGAATCTAAGTGATTCTTGTAATTATACTCTAAATGCTTATATGAATTCAACTTGAACATAGGGAAGAGGCATTAAAAAATTTACATATTCCATACATTTATTGTGTGACTTAAGATTAATGTATACTGTGTTTTACTTAACTACTTCAATTTGGAGCATCCCATTTTTCTCTGTATTTTCTGTGCATTCAGTTGGAGAATTTAAAATTTGTTCTCTTTCAATATTTATTTTTTTGTTAGTGTTTTTCATTTCTTAAATCTTACTATATGGTTTTATGTATTGTAGAAACAATGGCGGTCCCTTTGCTTGATAAGAAGATTGTGAAGAAGCGCGTGAAGAAGTTTAAGAGGCCACAGAGTGACCGCTACATCTCTGTTAAGGTATGATGGTTCATATGAACTTATCTTTATTGTTTTGATCATTCTAATCGGTGGGGGTTGTGGGAGTCACGATTGCCGGTGTCTTAGCATTTGAATAAATACGCAATGTTGTTTTCTAATTTCCTTTATCTTAGCTGCCTTTAGAAAGGCTTCCCATTGCCTTACAGGCAATCAACCATTATCAATTTATTAAGCATTGAGTATTGCCTTCACGTCTTCAACTTCAGGGATACTACATATCCTTAGAAATAATCAGAACTGCTAGGTGTGTATGGCTGATTGGTGTGTCATGCAATATCTATCTAAGATGAATTGGTTTACCGTTAAGATGCAACTTTCTATTTCTTGTTGGATTGACATTGTTGATTGTAGGAAAACTGGCGTAGGCCCAAGGGTATTGATTCCCGTGTGAGGAGAAAGTTCAAAGGATGTACTCTGATGCCCAACATTGGCTATGGTTCAGACAAGAAGACCCGCCACTATCTACCAAATGGTTTTAAGAAATTCCTTGTGCATAATGTTCAAGAATTGGAACTCTTGATGATGCACAACAGGTTTGTAATGATTTTGACTATGTTGTATAATCTCAAAGTTCCATAGATACCATTTCCACCTATATAGTTGTGACTTACTAATTGATTGATTGTGTTTTTAGGACTTACTGTGCGGAGATAGCACACAATATTTCAACAAAGAAAAGAAAGGAAATTGTTGAGCGCGCTGCACAGTTGGATGTTGTTGTGACCAACAAATTGGCAAGGTTGCGTAGCCAGGAAGACGAGTGAGCTACTCAGCAAACATGACAGCTGCTTTGCGGCTAAACTTTCTGCATTATTTAGTATTGCAAGAACAATGAAAACATTCTGTGAAGTTTTGTTTGAATTTTTCAGCAAACATTTCTATCTAGTTTTTGGGAAGATCCTTGTATCAGTTCATGCTCACTGCTAACAGGGTTTGTTCTATCCACCCAGGAATCATTTCGTGTTCGCGCAGCATTGGTTAAAGTTATATGGGAAAAGGTTTAAATTGGTTGAGTTGAATATGAAAATGCATCCATTGAACTTAAAAAATACAATCAAATCATTGAATATTGTAAAATAATGCTACGTACTCTAAATAACTGGTTGCCTCAGATATTGTGTGTAAACCATATGATGTGGGAAAAATTTTCTTATTTGGAAGCTATTTTGACAAAAAAAAAATCTAATTTTGCATTTTGTTTTCTTTTTTTCCTTCCACCGTGCATCATATCAGTAGGGGTGAGCAAGAATGCAAGATGAGAAACTTGATCGACACGAAACCTGCACTTCATAAGCAAAGGTATGTTTGATCTACTACGCGAAATCACGAATTAGGGTTGAGCATTGGTTGCTAACAACATTGAGTTTGTCACGCTGAGCAAACTGAGGCCCAGCCAAGGGTTTGGTGAATATATCAGCAAGGTCTTTCATAGAGATAAAATTTACCTGAAGCTCCCCCTTAGCCACTTTGTCGTACAAAGTGATAGTCTATTTCAACATGCTTAGTACGAGCATGACAAACAGGATTGACACAGAGGTAGGTGGCTCTTAAATTATCACACCACAGCTTAGGAGACACTGAGAGAGGCAGACCCAACCCACGCAGCAAAGCAACAAGCCATGTAACTTCAGCAGAAACATCCGCCAAAGCCTTATATTCCGCCTTAGTAGACGAATGAGTTACAGTCCTATGTTTCCGACATGACAAGGAAATTAAATTGGAACCAAGATAAACAACATAGCTACTGATAGACTTCCGCTACAACTTACAAGGATCTTTGTATATGTTATTATTTTTATAGATATAAAGTAAATAAATAAATATATAAAATAATGATAACTTATAATAATTAGAATGAAGAATTATTTTTAGGAATACTTTTCCATTTCGAGTATATTTGCAAATCAAAGTTCCTGGTGCGGGTGGTTAAACCACACACTTTGATCCCGTAATAACCATTTTTTTTTATCCCACGTACCATGTAAAAAACCTAGTCCTTTCTACAACTCTACATTTCAACTATTCTGCTAATTATATTAATTTAAATTAAAATATGAGTTGCCAAGAACCTTGTGCTCAGCTGACATGTAGTGACTCTTTCATATGGGAGGTTATGTGATCGAACCTCAATGAAGGTGGTCTTGATTCTTTGTGCTTCAATAGATGAACATATACTACAATGTAATAGAGCCAATAGTTTTCAAAAAGAAATTTAAAATATGAGTTAATACTCAATTTAGTCCTCGATTATTGTAGTTTATTTTTTCAATTTAGTCTTAAATGACTTTTTGTGCTTAATTAAGTTTTTGACTTTGATAATTTTATCCAATTGAGTCCTCAGCGGTTAGAACCAAGGACTTAATCGAGAAAAATGTACCATTATAATCGAGGACCAAATTAAGTAAAACCTCTATAGTCAAAGACTAACTTGGGTAAAACTAATATAGTCAAGGACTAAATTGATATTAATAAAGGTGAAATTACTAAACAATATTAACAAATGACTCAATTGGGTAAAACCATCAAAGTCGATAACCTAATTAAGCACCAAAAGTCATTTAGGACTAAACAAAAAAAGTCACTATAATTTAAAATTAAATTAAGTATTAACTCCATTGCCTTTTGAACTACTTTAATGAAGATGTGTTAATAAGGTTTTTTTTTTTTTTTTTTGAAAGTATGTGTTAATAAGTTATTTTTACTGTTCTAAAAAAAGAAGAAGTTATTTTTACTATTCTATAAAAAAAAGTTATTTTACTGAAGTCAATATTGATGGCTTGTTTGGTAGTACAGTACACTGAGGCGAGGCGCGCGTGTTAGGTGTTATTAACTTTAATTTTCATGTGTTACATAATAATATTCCAATCATTATTGTGTGGACCATAGTCAACACAAACTGTATGAATCATATTTTATATATTATAAAATAATGTATATTTAATACATAAATAATGTATTTTTTAATATATTAAAAATGTACTTTTTTTTTTGAATGTCACTAGCTCTATTACACTGTAGTATCTGTTCATATTAAAAATGTACTTTATATTCAAGAAAAGTACATTATTTGAATAATATCCTTTTAGTACATAAAAAATGTACATTTTTTATGGTCTATATAACACTGTGTGGACCATACATGATCCACAAAAGAGAAAAAATGACAGAAATGTGAAGGTGAAATATGGAATTCCTCAAAATATAACCAAAAAAAAGTTGGACGAAAATATGAAAAACACATTTGAGAAATGCGTTTTATCATATTTCGGGTCAAACTTAAAACGGTTTCTCGAGAAATGTAAATCCTACTTGCGTTACTCGAGAAACGCAAACTTTTTTAATTTTTTTTATTTGTTTATTTTTGATTTCTCCGGCGAAGGAGAAGGCCGGAGAAATGAGCGACCAGCTTTGGTTTGCGAAGGGGTGGCCTTCTCCTTTGCTAGAGAAACTAGCGACCAAAAATGGTGTCTGGTTTCTCCAACGAAGGAGAAGGCCACCAGTTTGGTTGCCTTCTCCTTCACCGGAGAAGCCGGCAACCAAAACTGTTCCCTGGTTTCTTCGGCGAAGGAGAAGGCGACCAGTTTGGTTGCCTTTTCCTTTGCTGAAAAAATCAAAAAAAAAAAAAAGTGTGCATTTTTCGAGAAACGCGTTTTAAGTTTAACTGGAAATATGATAAAACACATTTCTAAATGTATTTTTCATATTTTCGTTCAAATTTTTTTTTTTTTTGGTCATATTTTGAGAAATGACATGTTTTCATATTTACATTTCTGTCATTTTCTCCACAATAATTTGCCATAATCTTCTGCTTTTACTTGGTGGATTTGGTGCCCCACACAAATTAAAATAAATGAGAGTGGTTTGAGCGGGCCTATATAAGACTACAAGGATGAGCTAAGTTTCTCATCACAACTAAGAATAAAGAAACTCTGAGGTGTTTGCTATAAGATGGGGCTAAAAGGGAAGCTAGTTGCGCAGGTAGAGATCAGTTTCCATGGAGATTTATATTATGAAATCTTTAGGGAGAAACCCCATCATCTACCCTCCATGACCTCACTCATTCATGCAGTTGATGGCCAGTGGGGAACTCAGGGCTGTACCATTATCTTTAAATATACCCAAGGTAAGGTACTTGTTTTAATTTTTCTTTTTGAGCAAATACCAATTTTGGTCCCACGAGGGCAAATTATACTGTGGACAGCGATCCAAAAACGGCACGGTCTCTTTAAGTAAAAGAAATGGTACCCGTTTCGTGTCGTTCCGCAAAATGTAACTCTGTTATTCAGTTTCATTTTGTATACACTGTAGTTCCATTTCAACACAACTACAGTTTCATTTCAATTCAATTGCAGTTTCATTTGATAATATAAAAATAATATGTGAGGCAGTGTCAGTTTAGAGACACAGTAGTTTCACTTGGTAATTAACACACTAAAAATGCGCGCTTCGTTAACTGTAACGGCACGTTGTTTCTTTACTTAAAGAAACATCGCCGTTTTTGGACCGCGGTCCACATTATAATTGCTGGTCCCAAGAGTATTAGCAAAATGACAGTTTTAGTCTACATGTTTAATTCCTACCAATTTTCATCCACGACTATTGTGTTAGTACCAATTTTAATCCACGATTATTGTTTTAGTGCCAAAATTCATCACGTCAATCACTCATTCGTTTAGACATGTCGAAATATGAAATTATTAAGGGTATTTTTGTCATTTTCAAATTAAGATTTCAATTTGAACCTGAATAAAGAGATTTAAGCTCTAAGATCAATCCTAATTCGCAGTTTTTCTCCTCAAATTAAGGTAGGATGGGGATGAAAATTGCGAATTGGATTGAGCTTAGGGCTTAAATTTCTTTATTAATACTCAAATTGAGATTTTAAGTTGAAAATTACGTAAATATCCTTAAAAATTTTAGATTTCGGCATGCCTTAAATGAAAGGGTGATCGGCGTGATGAATTTTGACACTAAAACAATATTTGTGGATGGAAATCGGTAAAAATTAAACATATGGACCAAAACTGTCATTTTGCTAATACTCGTGGACCAAAATTGGTATTTTTTTTTCATCAAAATGTTATGTGATCATTTTTGTTAACACGTGATGGATTTGTAATTAATGTTTGACTTACAGATGGAAAAACTGAAATGGTGGAGCATGTTATGGAAACCATAGATGACGAGAAGAAAATATTGAAATATAGGGCAATAAAAGGTGACGTTTTGAAATCTTATAAGAGTTTCGTCGTAATATGTCAAGTTGATACTAATGATGATGATAACTTTGTGACTTGGACTATGGTTTATGAAAAGCTGAAAGAGGAGATTCCTGAGCCGCTCACTTATTTGGAATATTTTATTAAATTTACCAAAGAAATGGATAATCACCATGCCAAGCCGAAGCCATGAATATGAAATTATAATAATAATAATATATTAAATAATGGAGGCTTTGTGATGTATGATATGATGTATCAGTGTCTCTATATTCCAAGTGTGTTATGTAAAATATAAAGTAATAAGGAATTATTTCCTACATGTTCATAAATAAAATAATGTGGTATTTTATAATGTTTAATAATTTCTATTATCTTCCTGTGTATTGTGGGAAATTTATTTACATTAATATGTTTAAGAAAATCTGGAATGTAAAGGACCTATGAACGAATTATAATTTACAGGAGGAATACTACACTTCAATATTTTTGTTTGTTATTTTGTGTACATTTGCTTGTGTATGCCAACAGACAAATGTCGGAGTGTTGTTTAATGATTTTTTATTAGAAAAGAAAATGAAAGGTGCATTTAATTTGAAGATTTAATTAATGATATGATAGGGAAAACTGTAATTAAATTTTAAAACCTAGAGAAGATAACATGTTGGTCTCGGGTTTCAAAAAAAAAAAAACATGTTGGTCTCGGGCGAGTTAATTAATTAATTATTATTTTTTTTGTGTATTTTGAAAATTTGTATAATTACTACACCCAAAAGGTTGAATCCCCAATTCCTAATTATTGGGAGAATGTACAATTACTGCAACAACACAAGATAGAGTCTCTCAGTTTACACATTTTAAACTCTTATGGGTTGTTTGGTTGGATGTGTTAGAAATTTTAATTAAAATGACTATTTTGAGTGGGTATTTTGTAATACAAATATATGTATGGTCTACTTTTAATTTGGATCGGGTCAAAGTGTATTCGGGTTCTTCGTAGTGAGATGAAGAAATTGATATATTGTATGTTGAAAATTGATAATAAGTGAATGAGAAATTGATTCTCAAAGTGAACCTATTTGAGAGGAGTCAAAACTTAAGCTTAAGTAAGGAGTTAATATCTCCAATGGTCCTCCGAGTATTAGGGTATTACCAGGTGTGGTCCTCCGAGTTTAAAACGACCACGAGACATCCTCCGAGTTTTAAAAAATAACCACCAATGGTCCTCCGTTAGGATTGGTGTCAAATGACCGTTAAGTGTGAGGGCAAATCAATCATTTCTCGTATGAGTTAATACCTCCAATGGTCCTCTGAGTATTAGGGTATTACTAGATGTGGTCCTCCGACTTTAAAATGACTACTAGACGTCCTACTAGTTTAAAAAAATTACCACCCGTGGTCCTCAGTTAGGTTTGCTCTCAAAGGGGCATTAAGTCTGAGGACAAAGTTGTCTTTTCACCTATATTTCTTCCTCATTCGTTCACAACAATGGTATGTCTGCAACATTTCCCCCCCCCCAGATGCTTCTTGAAATCCTCCACCATCGCCTTCACGTTCAGTTTCCTGGTCACTGTCACTAGATCCTTTTCTGTATCCACTTTCACCACTTTTTCTTAATCAAGCATACCGCATTCATGGAGTAAAAGGAAAAGTGGGGTACATGTATAGGAAAACTTTGTGCCCAAGAATCAGCATAGAGAGCTACCTGATAAGTGTAAAAAACACACGTTTTCAAGGTCCATTAAGGGTGAGTTTTAAGCTATAAACAATCCTTTGTGTACCATTCTTAGGCCTTTTAAGCTAATATTGTGCATTGTGCTATAAATTGCCACCGCACTTTGTATTTTATGATTTTATAGGTTAAATTGGACGAAAACGAGGCAAAGTGGCATATGATGAATCAAACCGGGACAACCCGAAAGTTAGCGCGAGGGAGTAAGGCGACCGGAAGCCAACAATGAAGGCCCAACGCACGTTATCGCGAAGATGGACAGCGTACGCACCCCGTACGCACGTACGTGCCTCGTACGTGGACCCAAGTCGAAGGTGTTAAATTCCAGAAAGATCCACGCGACAAGCAACGCGCGTTGGGAGGACGTTGGATGGCGTACGTGGTCACGTACGTGCATACGTGCCTCGTACGCAGGCCAGATCCAAAGTTCAGTTTAAAAGCCTTGCGGGATTTCATTTGGAGACCACTTTACATTTTCCAGAGCTTTCTCTCTGCTTTTTCAGTTTATGTTCCTTCCTTCCTTGTCCATTGCATATGTTTCCTTTCACATCCCTACCTTGCACCTAATCTTCTTATCAATGCGCTGTGACAACTAATTGTCTTGCATTCTAATCACTCCGATTTGCCATCATTGAGTTCGACACTCGGGGGTGTCACAACCTTCGTTTACACTTCACCATCTTCACATTCCATCACATACAAAACAACAGCATCACTACCTTGGAACAGGAAACAATTGAGGAAGGGTCGTCCAAAGACTCCATCTTTGAGGAGAGAGAGAGAGAGAGAGAGAGAGAGAGAGAGAGAGAGAAAGGAGTTAATGGTATAATCCACAGGTGGTTTGCCAATCATCAGAGCTACTCGTTTTCTGAAACCCATGGTTTTCACCATTGACGGCCAAACGCCAAAGCTTCCTTCGTTGCCATTCTTGCCGAAGTAGAGTGCAGAGCCGGATTTTAGGCTGTGCAAGCTGGACTACCGCACAGGGCCCCCTAATTTTAGAGGGCCCCCAAAATTTAGAGGTTCCAATATTTAATTTTTACCTAGCTAGTTCAGAAATAAAATCTAAAAGTTTTCAATTAAATTTAAAAGACTTTATGAAGGAATGGTAGGAACATGTGCTTATTGTATTATTACAATTACAATTATTACAATTACAATTTAGAGGTTAGAGGTTCAAAACTAACTTTGAACATCTCTTGCATTGTTTTTCTTCCATTTGCGCACACTATTATCATAATAATTATAATTGTAATTTATTTCATAATATGTGTTTTGTTTTGTTTTGTTTTTTTTTTTGTTTTTTTTTTTGTTTTTTTTTTTTTTTTTGCGCATAGCAATATTTTACCACCTTATTATTAGAAAAAAAATACAGTATTGATTTTAAAGTATGTGATTTTGGTAGGGCCTCATTTATTTATCAGAACGGGGCCACAAAATTCTAAAAAATGGCCCTGGTAGAGTGGCCTCTTGAGATGGCATTCTGTGGGTGGAGGGACCCACAAAACTTGTGAGGAAGAAATATAGGTGAAAGGACATCTTTGCCCTCATACTTAACACCCATTTGACAGCAAACCTAACATAGGACCATGAGTGGTAATTTTTTTAAACTAATAAGATGTCTAGTGGTCGTTTTAAAGTCGAAAGACTACACCTGGTAATACCCTAATACTCGGAGGACCATTGGAGGTATTAACTCCTTAAGTAAGTGTTAATTTTGATTAGCATTGTTTGAGTGCTATTTGTAGCACATGAAGATTCGTAGCTTATTAATTTGATAAGCTAATTAAGCTTCTGTTTGGCAGAGCTCATTTAGGAGCTTATAACATATTTTAAGCTACTAATAAGCTATAAGTTCTGTTTGGTAATGTTCCTAAAATAATTAAACTCGTAGCTTAAAATAAGAGCTTATTTTGGAACCCTACCTCACGTAACATTTCAAAATAAAATAGTAGCTTCCTAACTTTTTTTTTCCATCTTTATCCTTATTATTTTAAAGAAATGACATCCTTTATCCTTCCCAATTAAAATCTTTTTCTCTTCTCCTTTATCCACAATTTCCACCGCAATTATTATTATTATTATTATTATTATTATTATTATTATTATTATTATTATTATTATTATTATTATTATTATTATTATTATTATTATATGAAGGAGATTCGCAATAATATTGCTACTTCATTACGGGATGCTAAATCATGATTATGCTAATAATTTTATTTCAAAAATGTTAACTTTTTTAAGACAAAATTTTAAATTTTAATATGTAAATAAATTAATTTAAATTTTATGAAGATGTTATTTTTGTCTTTTGCATTTATCAACTTATTAAAAAGCTAATTTTATCAAACACTTTCAAGCATAACAGCTAGCTTAACAGCTCTTCAGTTTTAAGCTCCTAGCTTATAGCTATTCAGCTTTCAGCTACCTTTTCAGCTAGGTTTGTCAAATATAGTCTAAGTATGATTAAACTAATTATGATTAGCTTTTAATTGGGATGCACCATTCGGTGCTGTAAAGAGGGAAATGCGGCACGAATGGTGGCTTTGAAAGCTTAATTGAAGCTTTGGAATTTAAATCACCGATTCGGTGCTGATGCGTAATTAGCACGGTTCGGTGGTGCACCATTTCGGTACTATTGGCACCACTCGGGTGCGATTTTCAGTCCCAATTCAAAAAAAAAATTGATTTGTATGGATTTTTCGGCCACTCAGATATTTAGAAACAGATTATTAATGGTTGATACGAATTAATTGTATATTAATTTTGTAACCGCAGATATTATTTTTAATATTAAGTATGATTGTTTTAAACGTTATAATATGATTTTTAATTCGGATTTATGGAGCCTATTAATGCTGAAATTTATGTTCAAACCCTATATATTCTATATGTTTGGCCAGTGATTTTGTAAGCCAGAAAAGAGCAAAGTAGCTAAGAAAAAACCAAATTTTCTCTCTTCCAACATTGTCCTATCTCTTCCAGAAACTCTGCTCATTCTTTCGAAAATTAGCTTGTGTTCAAGCCTTTTGTTCTAGTTCAATTCGCCAAAGGTACTATTGTTTGGGTGCTCGAACATAGTATCGTTGATCCATTTTATCACAGGAGACCGACATCACTGTTGGAAATTTTAGCTAAAATGGCTATTGTGAGTGGATATTGGTACAAATATATGTGGGGTGCACTACCAATTTGGATCGGGTCAAAGTGGATTCGAGTTTTTCGTAGTGAGACGAAGAAATTGATATGTTATATGCTCAAAATGAGTAATCGGTGAATGAGAAATTGATTTTCAAAATGAACATATTAAGAGAAGACAAAATATGTATCGAAGTAACAGTGGCACTCGCGTTGCATGTAATCTTCAATTACAAGCCCGGTCTTGTACTAGAGTTGTCTAAAAACTAAAATTAATTTCTATATGATTTAATGATGAACTTTCATCATTAAAATGTGTTAGCTAAAATAAGAAGACTAATAAACAACTACAAACAATTCTGTTGATAGGTAGTTGTTAACGATAAATTTGATTGAACATAAATGTTGATGCCTAGGATTGAACTAGGGACCTTTAGTGTGTAAGACTGACATGATAACCACTACACTACACCAACCAGTGGAGGAAACTAGGCTCTAAAATGAAAAACGAAATTCAAAGGTGAACTCCAACCAAGATGATTAAATGATCGGTTCCAACTAAAAGGGTTAATAGAGAGTTAATCAGAAAGGTAATAAACAACTAATGGCACGAATCAAGAAGGCCAATGAAAGAAATTATGCAAAAAGTCGATTGGAGCAGTCCCAAAAATCAGACGAACTTCCACCATATCGTTAAAATGTGTTGGTAGGAAAGGAACTCTGCAAAGGATAAATATATGTATGCGTGTGTAGGTATGTATTATATATTTTTATATATTTATTTATTTTATTTTTAATTAACTAATTATTTATTTGTTTTGATTCCAATTCTTATTTATTACCACCCAAAGTGACTCCATCTATTTAAATCTATTACCATTATCATATATTTGATTCTCATTACTATTTTGATTCTAATGTTTGAATCAAAGACACCTTAGTGTTTTGTGTCCAAAGAAAGTAAGGCTAGCTAGGCTGGCGTGAAAGTAACACAAACAAGAAAAGTCTAAGGTAGAGAACTAAAGGAGGTGTTGATTGCTGAGAACATTGATGAGATGGTGCCCAATTTAATTGGTTACGTTGTACATCTCATTCTGGTGACTACTCAGGTGATTTCACTACTTGCCTTGTTTAAACTTATACTCTAGTATATGTTGCGTGGTCCATTTATTTATTCTGCAATTGCCGCACAAATAATTAGTAATGAATTTTAACAAATAAATTTATTTATGTTTTGAATACTGCATGTGTGTGTACAGTGTGTGTATATATATATATATATATATATATATATATATATATATATATATATATATATATATATATATGGTTCTGGTGCGAAGAGCCTCCCCGATAAAACATGGGGTAAGATCTATACCGTTGATCAAATCTAGATCAACGGCTCAAATCAATAGAGATTTTTTTTAAAAATAAAACGCGCTTCCTAAGAATACGAATAAATTTATTTATGTTTTGCATATTGCATGTATATATATATATTGTTTGGTTAGAAGGAATTGGAATTCCACCGAATTACAATTCAATGCTTGTGGGAAAGGGAAAATAGAAGAAATGACAAAAGTATCTTTGGTGATTGCTATTATTATTATTACATAAGGATATTTTAGTCTTTAATCACTTTTTCTTTCTCAACCACAATAATTCTATTGCTCCCTACCAAACAATGTAATTTGAATTCCCTGCATTATTCCTACCTTATTTCTTTCCCACCGTATTGTAATTCCTTTCATTCCTTCCAACCAAACATCCCATTGGCGCACCTTAACAATGACACACATTAAGTGTTAAAATGACCTACATTAAGTGTTAAAATGGTGCACCTTAAGTGTTAAAATGATGCACCTTAAGTGTTAAAATGACGCACCTTTAATTGTTAAAATGGCATACCTTAAATGTAGAACTTATACACCTTAAGTGTAGAACTGACACACCTTCTTAAGGTATGTCATTTTAACACTTAGTTCTTTTGTAGTAAAAGTTGATATAAGAACTGGTTCTTTTGCAGTGAAAGTTAATACACAATTTTTAAACTTCATATATTGAAATACATGAAAAAATGTTGAGGGTATTAAAATAACATAAAGAACAACCCTTTAACTTAACAGCTTTATATTACATATCTCAGTTTTAACCAAATACATGAATCTAACATTTCCAGGAATTCAACATTCCCAGCAATCTAACATTCACTAAGGTAATCTGACATTCTGTGAACCAAACAACCCCTAAGTGTTAAAATGACTCACTTAAGTTTTGAAAATACGCAACTTAAGTTTTTAATAATAAGTACAATTATCATAATGCCATCGTTTTTTTTTTTTTTTTTTTTTTTTTTTTTTTTTTTTTTTTTTAATACGGAACTTGGCTTTTTAATTTTTTTTTTTTTTTTAACTTGGTTTTTTTAATTATCTTTTTGACTTTTCACTTTGATGGATCCATGCATCATCCATTAGACTCAAAAGTTAAAAAGTGAAGAGTAACTATATCCCATTTGTTTCTTTAAAAATTGTATCGAACAATTTTGAAACAAAGAGAGTATCAAATTATATGTTGTATGTAGAATTTCTTTTACATTATATTACAAATTATTAAAGTAATTCGTACAATAGATACATAATAATTTATTAATGTACCCGCATGGACAGCTCAACTGGTCATAGAGGTGAAACTTTAGAAGAATGACCCTGGGTCAAGTCTCACCAGCGGTAGTCCCAAATGTGCCTATGTGGTTCAGCCTTTTGGAAGAATTAATAATTTATTAATGTGGGTAGATGATAATTAAGGTGTTTTAAAAGATAAAAAAATTGTGGTTTTGGGTGTGGCTGGGATCGCAAAATTCCTTAATTTTGAGAAAATTACAATTATTATTATTATCAGTTTTGTGTCCAACTTCCTCATCCCCGCTAAGTTTGAAAGCGTCTTGTACGAAAGACTCCACGTCAATCTGTTTATTCCCATCCGTATCCCCAGTGGCCGTCACCGGAATAAACGGCGGCCTCGCCATTCGCACAATCCCGTCCCAATCAACGCCTCGGAAAAACTCATGGCCCTTGATTTCCTCACCGGAGATCCTCTGATCGGGGTCCTTCTCCAGCAACTTTCCGATTAGATTCCTCAGCGCAGTCGGTTCTCCGACCAGGTCCGGCTCCTTTGACAGTATCCGATAGAACGTTTCCTTCCGATTCGAGCCTTTAAACGGCGTCGTGCCGTACAGCATTTCGTATAACATCACGCCTAGACACCACCAGTCGACGGAGAAATCGTGGCCGTTCCCTAGTATGACCTCCGGCGCCACGTACTCTTCGGTCCCGACGAAGGAATTCGACTTCTCGACGGAGTCGGATCTCGAGGGGGAACTCGCCGAGCTTAAGCACGGATGTACTGAGTCCTCCTCCGGCGAGATTCCTGACCTGCATAGCATGTACCAGGAAGGAAGCTTCTTCCGTGTCTTCTCCGCCCGTGGCGGCTCAGATTTGGGAGGAGGAGGTGGAGTTTCAGAAGATTTGGGAGATAGTTTTGTGGAGAGATCGAAATCGATCAGCATTATATGACCATTCTCCTGAATCATCACATTTTCTGGTTTCAAATCTCTGTACACAATTCCTAATCCGTGAAGATACTCCAATACCAGTACTAACTCCGCTGCATAGAATCTGAAAATTCAAATTCAAATCCAAATTGTTCTAATTCGAGTTAATATCTAATATAGTCTTCAACCATAGTAAGTTTACTCAATTTAGTATTAAATGACTTTTTATGCTTAATTTAGTTCTCAACTTTGCTGATTTTACACAATTTAATCTTTTATTACAAATTCTGTTAATTAACTATTAAAAATAAGCTCCTAAGGGTAATTTTCCATCCTTCATTCAATTTGGAATGATTCATTTTTCTTCTCATTATTAAGTTCCTCCATACAAAAATAAAGATCTTCATTCTCAAATCAATTTCAATCCTAAATAAATAAATATTTGTTTATAATTTTTTAATAATTTTTTTAGTTGGACTTGGGTGCCCAATCCATAAAACGGGTAGAGAAGTAGTGTAGAAGCAACAGTAATGAAAAATTATCATTACGACTTCTATTTCTAACTATTAATTAATATAATTTTAACAAAAAGACTAAATTATGTAAAATCATCACGCACAAAAAATCATTTTCAACTAAATTGAATAAAATCAGATAACTCTATTAAGTATTAACTGGCAGTAATTTCAAAATGGAGTGATTATTAATATAATAAAGCGGTTATATATGGAAAATGTGGGAAGTACAGGAGATCGACTCACCTAATGATATCACCAGAGAATATATTTTCCGTTTGCTTCTTTCTCAAAGTGTTTAGATCGCCTCCGGGACAGTAATCAATGGCGTAACCGACGATTTTCTGCGTGGAAACCACTCCGCGGAGCTTCGGGAGAAGAAGGTTTTGGAAGGAGCTCAGTACTTGGCGTTCGAACCAAATTCTTCTGTACTCGCTTCCATTGCCGCCGCCGCCGCCGCTAGCGAGCTTCTTCTTCTCTACGGAAGCGCGCGAGATTGCCTTGAGTGCCAGCAGTTCACCGTCCTGAGTTTGGACCAGGAACACCACGCCTTTAGCTCCGCGGCCGAGAGCGGCGGTGATCTTCAGGTCCTGCAGGTTGAGAGAAGCGACCGATGATAGAGGTCCGTCGTCTTCGTTCATGACGGGGTGGGGCGGGGCGGGGCGTGAGTGATAGACGAGACGAGACGAGACGAGACGATTAATTAAAGAGCCGAATTTCTAGGGATTCTGGTAGGATATAATACTGTAGTAGTAGTAGTAGTGGGAATGAAGAAAATTGGTTAGTTGAGGTTGGAATTTGATGCGGTTGAATCGAAGTGGATGGGGAGAGAAAAAGAAAGACGCTGGCTTTCATTAATGGAGTACATATTCCTACGACCGTATAAAAGGTGGGAGGGGGGATCCATTTTCCTTGGTGAAGAAGCTTCTATCACTAATGGGGAGGAATTATAATTGAGGAAATACCAATTTTGATCCCACGAGTATTAGCAAAATGACGATTGATCTCAATTCGCAGTTCTCCTCCTCATCCTACCTTGATTTGAGGAGGAAAACTGTGAATTGAAATAGATCTTAAGGCTTAAATCCCTTTATTCATGCTCAAATAGGGATCCTAATTTGAAAAGCACGAACTTACCCTTAATAATTTCATATTTCGGCATGTCTTAAGCGAAGGGGTGATCGCCGTGATGAATTTTGGCACTAAAATAATAGTTGTGGATGAAAATTGGTACTAAAACAATAGTTGTTGATGAAAATTGGTAGGAATTGAATATGTGGACCAAAACTGTCATTTTGCTAATACTCATAGGACCAAAATTGATATTTGCTCAATTATAATTCTATTCCTACATAATTGTATTCGTTTGGTGGGAGGGATCTGTAATTTCAGGAAATTTAAATTTCTTCGTTTTTAATGAATTAGAATCACATGACCTGTATTTCAATTCCATTGATTTTAGAAGGGAAAATGACGCTTTTCCCCCCTAAGTTGTATACTTATAGCATTTTTTCTCTTTGAATTATTCAAGTGGCTGTTTTTTCCCTTGAAATATTAAATGGACACATTTACCCTTAAAATAAATATTTTATTTAGTTTTCTTTTGCAACAAATTGTGACCACGATTTGGTTCAAACGGAATAGACATTATAGCAATCAAACCGAAATATTCCAATTAATTTAGAAGTGAAACCCGATATTTAGAGTTTATTAAAATCGCGAACCGGAATGAGCGGTTCATGTTCCGAACTGAAAAAAAATAATATGAAATACATTTATTGTTGAATTTAGACTATTTCAAAATAAAAAATAAAATTTTAAAATAAAGACGGTTTAAAATCGTGAACCGGATCCGGAACCGCTAGTTTACGGTTCAATATCCAATTTTTTTGATTCATAAATTTAATAAACTGAAATCCAAATATTGGGTTCTGATCTGAATCATAACCGAAAACTTTCAATTCGATTGCTAAAGTGTCCGATTCAGTTCAAACCGAACCGTGATCATCCCTATGTATACGAATAATTTGTTGGAGAAGAAAAATAAATAAAATATTTACTTTAAGGGTAGAAATGTCAATTTAATATATTAGGGGTAAAAATCGCCACTTTTAGAATAATTGAGGGGACTAATGTGCTTACATGAATAATTCAGGGGGGAATAGTGCTATAAGTATACAACTTAGGGGGGAAAAGTACCATTTTCCCATTTTAGAAAGAAAATTTAAAAATAACTTTGAGACAAATTATCCATCTTTTTAAACTTAAAATTGATGTTTTCTCTTTTGATTATAATGTGTCTTCTTCTTTTACTACTCTCAACACAGAACGTCAATCAATAGGTCAACATCCATCAAATATGTTTTCTCAAAACTCCCTTAGCTTATCTATTGTATTGCTTTTGTTATGCAATTCTAGGATTTATTTACAACGTGTTACATAAATTTTCAAAAGCAAAATTTGAATTTGGTCATTTAGTATTTATTTATAATAATAATAATAATAATAATAATCATAATAATAATAATAACAACAACAATAAGAAATTTTGGACTTTATAATACTTATTTCATTTCAATTCTCATGTATACCAAACATTGGAATTGAGTTTCCAACACTACAAGAAATTTCACATTTAATGACAACACAAGTTATCATAAAAAAATATCGATTTATAACTCAGTGGTAGAGTGTCACCTTGACGTGGTGGAAGTCATCAGTTCGAGCCTGATTATCCCTAAGTCCAATGAGAGTTTTTTTAGTTGGATTTGCCCCCTGTTGTGATTCAATGAGAATGGATAAGAGGCTCGTGGGATTGATGTGAGGGGGCATGGATGGCTTTATTTATGGGAGCGAATATGAAGCGCATGGATAGAAGTTATGCCTTAGAATGAATTCCGAATTCGCTTTGTCTACGAACAATAAAGCTATAAGTAATGCAACTATGAATCTCATGGAGAGTTCGATCCTGGCTCAAGATGAATGCTGGTGGCATGCTTCACACATATATAGTAAGTTATATTGTAAAACAAAAACCTAACATTTGAAACCAATCAAGTATTTCCATCTCAAACACCTTTTAGTGTGCGTATTGTGCATGCGTGGTGCGTGCGTTGTGTGAGATGAAGCCAGCCATAGCTAGGACTGGCAAATCCGAGGTGTGGAAATAGTCAAACTCTTCATCTGGAAGATCACGAAGAATGGGCTGCTTGTTATCATGGATAGAAGAAAACGTGGGCTAATTGAGGATAGAGGCTGCTCAAGATGTGGTGAGGGTGATGAGTCACTCGACCACCTGTTTCGACGTTATGATTATGCTAGGAGTTGCTTGATCCAATGTCGAGCATCGACTAACTTCAATGCTGCGACGCACACCCCTCCTTCTTCGCTGGATTGAGGAGAATTGCAATAGAAATTGCACTAACCAGGCAGAGGAGATATGGAGATTGGTTTTCCCTACTTGCTTTGGAACGTTTGGAAGACGAATGAATTCATCTTTAATAACAGGGTTTGGCCCAGCAGGGAGGTAGTCTGATAGACGGTTGCATATATATATCTCGAACCAACAAGTTCATTGGTTCAATACAAGAAAGCTAATTTATTGCTCCATAGGGAATCAAACTTAAAACATTAATGTAGTTGAGCGGCATAGCTGTGACCTTTCAAATAAGAGGTCTCAGGTTTGAACACCGTAGGTATGAACAGATATTATATTGTAATAGAATCATTGTAGTTGTTCGAGGCATTCCTCATACTTGTTGTGATAATATGCTATAACACAACTCATTTTACTTGTTCTATTTACTATTTATTTGTAATCTAACTCTCCTTTCTTTGGTGTTTGCTTTAATATTTTTATAATTTTAAATTCACTTTTTTTTTGTATGTTCAATAGTATTCGATATATCTACTACTAATAAGAGTCAATGAAGTTAGGTCTATAATGAGAACTAAAAAATGTTTGTCCCATTATTTGATGAAATGAATGGTTCAGATTATTTTGATTTTATTTTTTTTTTTTAAATTTTTCTACTTTATCCTCTATTATATTCTTTTCTTCTATTAAAAACACACACATTCCGTTAGTATAAACTTTAGTAACGAAATATTCCATTAATTATTTATTATTCTTAACGTACATGACTATAAGAAATGTCTTAGGTTCAAACGACATCCCAATCAGAGTTGGCATAATTGTTGAACATATACTACGAATATGTGTAGAGTGAATATGTTAGAGTGTATTAAAAAAAATACAATGTAAAATTTAACATGAATTTTAATCAAATAATTAGCCAGACTAAATACATAACATTCAAAGTTGAACATCAAAGATTCAAATAAGGAATTTTGAAAATTACTTGCATTTAAAAATAAATAAATTAGGCTAGGGTTTTTTCCTAATTTTTTTTTTGTTTAATTAATATTCATTTGATTATTTAGAACAATACTCAATATTTCAATTATGCTTTTGCATTATTGGGAATGATTTAGGTCATTATGGCATTAGTATTTTTTGTTTGTATTTCTATAATGATACAATTGTACATTACTTTACAAATATTATACTATTGTTTTTTTATCAGACAAAATTATTCTTATATCATTATCAGACCTAAGCGACCTAGCTACAAAGTCAATCATTATTGCATGGACCATGGTCCACACAACTGTGTGGACCATAAATGAAAAGTACATTTTTAATATACTAAGGGTACATTATTTATGTACTAAAGGTACATTTTTTGAAAGTACATTTTTAATATACTAAGGGTACATTATTTTATATAATGTACCTTCGGTACAAAAAAATGTACCTTCAATATATTAAAAATATACCTGATATTTATGGTCTACACAATTGTGTGGACCACAGTCCACACAATAATTTTCCCTACAAAGTTGTTGATTAGAAATACTTCTACACCTGGGCTCTAAACGGTAAGACCAATGTCCAAAGAATTAACAATGTTGACACCCTATTGACTCTAATTGAACAAGTTTACACATCATTCTCAAAATTTTATCAATGCATTAAAGCTTCTAAAGAAATTTGTAAGTTAATTTTTACTATATCATTGGAAAAATATAATATCTATTGTAACAATATATTACGAATTATTTATCCGCATATTCTATTGACAGCAATTGTCATAGACAAACTCCCAAAATAATTCGTCTCAACAACGAATGAAAAAAAAAATCAATGACTTCAAAAATTTATCTTACCTTATCTAACACATAAAGGACTGATATGCTTTTATGCTGATAATAATATGTACATGGTAATTAGATCATTATCTTACGTAGCTACATTTAAAACTCATTATTAAAAATGTTGATGTAGGGCAATAGAACATCGGGACACACTTGACGCATTAAAAAGATACCGAGACTACAACAATGCTACAATCAATCTTGCAAATCTAGAAAATGATGAAATTTCATAAATAGCCATCGTTGCAGTATTCATTTATCCTATATGTAAAATACTCATTATGCATCCTTTAAATATATTAGAACTAATATAAATTTATAATTAATTTCATTTTCTAGACTCAATCTACTTGGATTAAAGGCAGAATCATCATCAATCTTGACTAAAAAAAACAATTGGTATATAAGATATAGCCACTGTTTAAAAATGGTTTATGCACAAAGTGACAAAGTATTTAACTACATGCATTGTGGTGAAAAGGTATCAGTGGGTACTCCAAGGTTAGTATAAATTCAACAAATTTTTTTTACAAAAAATACACGCACACACAAAATCAAGTACTGCACTCATTCATACTAATTCCAAAAACATGAACTTCAAAATGAACATGTGCAAAATGGATGTGAAAATTGTTGATGAAACTGGACACATTGCGACATCAGTATTCAGACTACCTGCAGAGTCATTGTTGTTACTATCAAGTAAACAAGTTATGGAACTAGAATAAGAAGTACTACTCATGAACCTTTCTACAAATATAATAAATATTAATATTTTGTTCAATACTTCACATGAAAATCTACAACACACGTCTTACAACGCATGAAACATATAGGGAAAAAAATTACCGCTGCCAAATATCAACAGACACTTGCAAGATCAAGAGTTGATATACAACTAAGATCCCAGTCATGTACACATCAAGGCAAATCCACAACTTCCTACATCATAATCTCATTGCACGATGCTGCCCTCTATGCTACCACCAGTAACCTAATTGCGCATGACACACTACCAATAAAAAAGAAGATGACAAGTACTGAAGATAAAGACAATGACAATGCTACCCAAAAAAAAAAAAAAAAAATTAATAAGACTTAGAGAAATTCAAATCAAAAGTAGCATTTATTTGACTATCGTTTTTAGACTAGATATTTAAATTAACGTTTTTACAAAGTTGCAAACAATTAGTTTAGTGACAACTATAAATTTTACAAAGTTGCAAAGAATTAGTTTACCTCTATTCATTTGACTCAAAGTAGTAGCAGTGCATTGGCAAATTATATACCTTGAATAATAGTTTATATTGCATTGTGGATCTTAGTCTAAAATAACCTTCAGATTATGTATCTGTAGTTGACACATTCTGTACATGCAGTTAACCATTTCTATACATGTAAACAAATTGAAGGCACATCACTTAGTAGTTACAAACACACAACATGATAGATACAAATACACCAATTGTTTTTTTTTTTTTTTTTTTTTTTGAACGGTAATACACCAATTGTTAATTGTAAGTATAAAATATGTTATTAACTGCAGACATATAAGATGTTGACATGTTAATCAACGTTTTATGTGTCTACAGTTAATATATTTTGTACCTACAGTTAACAATTTATATATCTACAATTATCATGTTATATGTATGTAATTACCCATGTTATGTACTTTCAATTTATTTATAAGTACAAAATATATTAAGACACATAATTTTTAGACTAGGATTCAAAACATGAATCCTGATCCATGCTATAATAATTGCTTGGATTGAAAGAAATTGTGGTGTAGCGGTTTTAAAGTATTGCGATAAAGCCTAAAGGCGGTTACGTGGCTTAGCAATTCAGGATATGATGCAATATATTTTGAGCAAATTATACTATTGTATTATGCGTATGCAATTAATATATTATGTACATGTAGATTAAAGGTACATAATATTTTAACTGCATATACATAATACGTTAATTGCAGGCGCATAATATGCAGTAAACATATTATGTGTTTGTAGTTAAAATATCATGTGATTGTAGTTAACAAATTATGTGCCTTTAATTTATTAACCGAATGTATATAATAGGTTAATTACAAAAATATAATTTTTGAATTAGGACTCACAATGTAAAGTTGACTCTGATATATTTTATAACAATTCTATATTAAGTAAGGTGGTGGTTAATAATAATATTAATACAGGCGAAAATGGTGAGGGGGTTGGGGGAAATGGACAACCACAGCATTAATGTCGGCCGCAACGGTTGGTTGTTGTAAGCCGAAAAGTCACTTTAGACCACAAATTCATCAATCTGGCTGTGTTCCAACTTCCAAGTTTGAGTGAGCATACAGTAGAATTAGATAATTAAAGTTTCTACGTTACCTTAAATTTTTGGGATAAAGTACAAATAAGCCACTTAACTATTTGGAAAAAAGCAATTAAGTCATCGAACTCAAATAATCCCCAAATAAGCCATTGAACCCGGAAAAAAAAAAGCAATTAATATTTTTAACAGGTTAACTTCAAGTTTTTACTGACTGGATTGCCAAATGTTTATTTTATTTACGTCTTTTTATTATTATAATCCATCTACATAGTAATATATTTTAAAGTAATTATAATCAAAGTAGTTTTGTCTTGTCTAGATCTAATTTATTTATTTATTATTATTTTTTTAAACAAAAGATCTAGTGAAAAAATAATAATAAATAAAAAAATCAAATCTCGACAAGATAAAACTATTTTGACTATAATTATTTTAAAACATAATACTATTCAAGTAGATAATATTAATAAAGAAAATAATAAACGTAAATAAAATAAACATTTGGCAATCCAATCAGCAAAAACTTGGAGTTAACCTATAAAAAAGTGTTAATTGCTCTTTTTTTCAGGGTTCAATGGCTTATTTGCTCTTTTTTTCCGGGTTCAATGGCTTATTTGATGGTTATTTGAGTTCGATGGCTTAATTACTGTTTCCCAAATAGTTCAGTAGCTTATTTGTACTTTATCCCTAAATTTTTATGGAAATTTTGCTAATGCATTTTTTTACCATGTGCTTTTCTTAATAAATAAAAATCAAGATATATATTCTGGTCAAATTAATTAGGCGATCACTATAATTAATTGTGAAATAATTAATTAAAACTGTATTTGCCAAGCACCTTGTGCTCAGATGACATGTAGTGACCTTTCTCATGTGGGAGGTCATAAGATCGAGTATTAGTGGAGGTTGAACAGGAGTCAGTAGCATTAAAAAAAAAATTAAAACTTTACTTTGGTGAAATCATTCATCCATCAAAATATAATTGAAATATATATTAATTTGGTTAATTTAGTAAATTTTAGACTTAATTAAATGATAACTAAAATTGTTTAAATTTAAAATCGTTAATTTTGTTATAAATATAATCATTATGTGGACATTATTATAGATTATATAACAGTTGTAACGGTTCATGTATTTATGTCTTCATTATGTCTTCCGTTACATTTGTATATATATTATATATAGATGTGATATGATTGTATGGAGGATAGAGATGAATGAATAAGAGATGATCTTCTTTGCCTTGCTTCTTACCTTCTCCTTCTTCAATTACATTGATCATTGTTTGAGCTAATGGGTTACAACACGTTATCAGTACTTTGCTATACATATTTGCAAGGAGAATCAGAGGTGATAACTGGTCTATCACGATTGTCCGAGGTCGTTTTGCTGGCGGCAGATCACTGTCGCCCACTTTCTGTAGTGCGGACGTCGGTCGCCATTTTTTCCGCTAGCCCTAGTGCCGATCTTCTATCAGGCATCCTCACCACAACCTCAACAGAAACTGATCCCAGATCGAAGCTAAGGTAAAGCCTCCATCGATGAAACTTGGGTCGGATCGTGAGAACCCTTGGACGGTTGTCGATCTCCAATCGGACCACCATACATGTGGCCGAACTTGGCTGTTCTCCGCTCATCATTGCCTCCCTCTCTCCGTTCTCCACCACTGTGCGATCGATCTTTGGCGGCTTCGTCTCATCACCGACGCTCCATTGTTAGGCGTGAACGAGGGTTTTCCAGGGCGCTTAGACGCCGGCGTTGCGGACCAATCTGGATGGACGCTATCTCGATCGCAGGCTATCCCAGCGCCTGATCTTGGAACTGATGGCTCCTCGGATCGGCAAAACAAAGAGCCTGTACACCCAGCTTCGCTGGCCAAAGCCAGATCTACGTACGTCACCAAGGATGAAATGAAAATAGACAAACAGAAGGTTAATTAACAAAGGGGAAAATTAAATTAAGTACGGAGATGGTGACATGTCTCGTGAAATCACCTGGCATGAATGGATTCAATAAGCTACCCTGCTTGTTTATCAATGCTATAGTTCAGAGATAAGTAACTCATATTTCTTTTTAAATGCTTTTATAAGATTTATTAATAGTTAATGAATGTGGCAATTTTTGATGCATATGATATATAAATATATATCTGGATCTGGATATTGGCAAAAATGATTTATACATACATTTATAATGTCTGCTTCCTTTTCTTAAATAAATAGAGCATGGCGCATAAAAATGCTTGCAGCTACTGAAACATTATATTGAGGGAGTTTGACATGCAATGGATTACATTGGAACACTTCAGTATATTTGACATGGTTTATTAACTACTCACATTCTTTGTATTGTGTTTGACAGCTACTGAATGTTGAGTGTAGTGTTTACTTGCTATGATAATGCTCAGAATGATCCTGAGTCTTTTCTCAATCGTTGGACTGTTTTATTTGTTGGTCTTGGATGAATCCGATGAAGTGAGGAAAGGAAGTTGTGAAGTTGCTCTCAGCATGCTTGAGTCCAAGAGATAAGTTGCTCTGGATTCATATATTGCGCCTGCGCTTGTAGAATCATCGTGGTTACACCCAAGCATTACAATTATGTCCAAATCTCTATGAGCTAAGTATTATTTTTCTATAGAAAATATTTATATATGCATATATTTATGTGATACTCTGTGCAATTGTCATATTTATATATGCATATGATAATCACATTGTGGATATAAATTCTACTCTTTGAGAAGGAAATATGCCATGTCCTTTAAAGCATTATGATTGGTACATGAAATATTGTGATATGCTTACTTGACGTGACTACTCCATATATTGTATATATGGTGATTTTATGGTGTCTAGGAAGAATGATTTTACACATAATAATCATTGCCTGAAAATTCTAAGGGGGCAGTTAAAAATTAAATTCGTGAAAAATACTTCCCGAACTCCTTTTGGCATGATTGTTTTTTTTTCTGGAGAACCCAAACTTATGGTATTTGATATCTATAAAGAGTTTTTGTTGAAAATATGCTCCAGTTATCCCAGAAAATTTTGTAAAGTAATTTTCTGCCTGGCGCAGTGTTGAAAAATTTTGGGAAAAATACTTCCACGTCTTGGATTGACATGAAATTTTTATATACTTTCAAGACTTGCTGAATTTCATATTTGCAAAATTTGGTGTACAAATGTGTTAAGGTTTTTTCCTAAAAAAATTTTGCAATCTTAATGCATCTGTATAATTTATCGGTAAAGTATGCATATTGTTGATTCACAAGAAAATATGTTTAGTATCACCCATGTCATGCATCCAAATTGATGCTTAATTGTTTTTTTTAGAAAGCATGATAAATAGACGAAATTATGATATGTTATCTTGATGAGTTCACTCCATTGTATGTTGAGTACTCTACTTGTTTCTCTAATTGTCATGAAACACTTAATTAAGATACACAATATCATATTTTTTTTAACTAAAGCTCTAATTCTTAATAGAGCTTTGTTTGGAAAGCAATTTATGCAATTTTGGAGGAAATATGTTTTTTGGGGACCTTCAAAAATTGAATAACCAATATCTTGATCCACTACATATCACATACGCTAGTACATGATGCATTTCCCTATCTGCGTTCAATTTTTTTAATATGCAACCCTTCTAGCTATATCTCATCATGAGAAATCAACAGTGATGTTGGTTGCATTATAAGATCTTTTCTCGACATTAGGGGGAGATTTGAAATTTATAATTAATTAAATGCCGAGAAATTGATAAAAATCTTCAAACCCATGTACTAGCCTTATAGAACAAGAAGTTCAGTCATGGAACAAATTATGTTATCTGCTAGAAATCTCAATGAGTGACTAAGTCCATAGAAAATATTTTAAGAGTTGAAATCCCCAACTAGGACTAAAAATCTCTACCATTATGCCAGAAGCATATATTGATTTAAGAATTTACAAAACTAGATCTAGTATAGAAATTTCGTCACTCCAGAAATATAGAAATTTTATCCTGAAGATATTCGTCTAGAAGGCGAAAACCCCCAGTAAAATTGTAGGTGCACCAAATAACTAAAATACTGGGGAAGCGGAACAACCAAATCCAAATACTTTTGGGAAATGCCATATATTTGGTTGATACAAAATTGCCATGTGTATAAAAGATATTTACAAAGCTGTTATAGTTGTCGACAACATTTTTTGCCTCTATTGCTCATAAATACTTAAATCTGGATCCAGAAATGAAAATAGTAGTATAACGCCTGCAGCGTGCTAACTGTTTTCATAGAAAATAGCAATTAAGGCATACAAATCAGAATTCGCTAATAAATTAAGGCGAGTGGAGGGTTTTCGCAGAGACCCAATATTAGTCATGGCTTTATATTCCGCTATTCAATAAAACTAGCAGTAAATAAATTAGATATGTAGCTAATAGTTATAGTTATCACATATTTATATGGGTAACTTGTTACTTATATTTAAAATCCTTGATGGATTTTCTCAAAATGTGATGAATGAAAATCACAAAATAAGAAGTATAAAAGTTAGTAAGTTACTAACTATGATTTTTTCTTATAGTCAATAAATTGATTAAAAGTATTTTCTCTCCCATAACAAAGTATGAAAATATATTATCATAAACATGCCTAGTAATGTTATATGTGATTGGAAAACTCAAATATCGTTTCCTCTTGAAAATATCCTAAATATATCCTCTAGTTTATCTTGAAAATCCCTAATGGATTTATAATTCCCGAAATGAGGATTTATTTAAGTGCCATTATTTACTTTTTAGAGAGTTGCGAATGGGGTTATTATCCTCATATAGAAGGAATAATATGTACCATTATGTGCTCAATAAAGAGTTGATAATGGACTTATTTATTATCTCAGTCAATATTTATAGTGTAAACATCAATGAAATATATAAAGAGTTTAATGATGTTAAGTTATGAGATGAGATAACGAATAGCAAATCAAGGTACAAATACTCGTATTGATGCTTTTTGGCATGAAGTCATCATACTTGTTACAGATAAAAACGTATATAGTTTTTCATGATATAAAATACCTTGATCCACATGAACTCCAGAAGAGTGATAAAATATTTGTTCAGAAGGTTTGCTCTAGTGACAAGTTAGCAAATGTATACCTACAAATATTCATAAGATTGATATGTGTAGGTAAAGAAAAATTATTATATTTAAGGGGAGCAACAAAATATAAACTATAAATAATTTTATTAGTCCAGATGATCATAAGAAAATATGATGACAATCCTGAAGATTGTACCATATCCCTTCTCTACACCCTTTAGAAACAATGATGATTTTACAGGCAATATAGAATTTGAAGATTGTTATCTTCAGGGGGATACATGAAGTACATTCACTCGAGTCAATCCTGTAGATTGGTCAATCATGTAAGATTGGGTCTTAAAAGGACTAATAGTTATACTTTTTTGCAGCATATACATATCATGTAATCTTTTCCTCACTAGGTTTTTCCCAATGGGTTTTCTAGTGTGGTTTTTAACGAGGCATGAGTATGATATAGTAATGACAATGGGGAAAAGTTACAAAATAATTGGTTAATAAATGAACAAACTCCAAAATCCTGAAGATTATGCAGATTATGCGAACAAACTCCAAAATCCTGAAGATTATGCAGATTATGCCTTGAAGGATTATGGTGTACTCTTTTTCCCTTAACTAAGTTTTTCCTACAGGGTTTTCTTAAGTTAAGGTTTTTAATGAGGCGACCAATACAATATATGTTTTATATATATTATGTACTCTTTTCTTCAACTAGGTTTTTCCCACGTGGTTTTCCTAGTGAAGTTTTTAATGAGGCATGAATATATTTTCTATTATACTATTTTCTTGTCTAGGTTTTTCCCACAGGGTTTTCCTAGCAAGTTTTTAACGAGGCAAGGTCATGGACAAATAATGTCCAAGGGGGAGTGTTATAAATATAATCATTATGTGGACATTATTATAGATTATATAACAGTTGTAACGGTTCATGTATTTATGTCTTCATTATGTCTTCCGTTACATTTGTATATATATTATATATAGATGTGATATGATTGTATGGAGGATAGAGATGAATGAATAAGAGATGATATTCTTTGCCTTGCTTCTTACCTTCTCCTTCTTCAATTACATTGATCATTGTTTGAGCTAATGGGTTACAACAAATTTGGCATAATTCAGGTATCAACCAAATTAATTACTTGAAATGATTTCAGTTAATTAGACATTCTTAATATCAAAGAAGAAAAAATTTATCATCTTTGATGAAACCATATTATTATTATTATTACTAGTATTTGTCCCGTGCGATGCACGGAAAATATGTTATAAAAATATACCCTATATGAATTAATATATATAAATTTTGTTATTTAATAATTATTATGTGTGAATTCCTATGATAAAATTATGAACATAAATATATTTACGATTAAAATAATATTTAAGGTGGATGATTACTACAAATCTTAAATTATATTAAAAATTTAGTACATAGTATTTAATATTACAAATTTTTAAGAACTTAATAAACTATAATAGTAATTGAATTACAATTTTAGAGTCACCACAGATCAAAATTTTTAGACCTTTGAGATTTCTAACTCTAGATGTAGCAACATACAATTGACCTTTAAAGACCAAACAATCACAATCTTAGTTCAAACATTGATTTTTTCTTTCAAATACTATCGAATTAAGTGTGTAATCAATAAAAGATGAGAACTAATAATTCGAGAATATAATCTTAATGTTACTAAGCCTACTTCACGTCAATTAAGTTGAAGAGTGTTGTTGGATAGTATCCGACGAATCCACGAATAACGCATCTTTGTCTCTGTAGTCCTCGATATGCACATCAACAATCTTAAATATTAGGCCGCCTATCTATGCTATATATTAATTTCAAACTTATGAACTTTGGGGTTGCACGTGTGGTGTGCATGCATGCTTCTTAAAGCCATATGGTCTTGTGAAAATTAAATGTTGTTAATACCAACATTTAACCATTAATATCAACATTTAATTTTCACAAGACCATATATCTTTATTATAATTAAGATGATTATTATTATTATTATTATTATTATTATTATTATTATTATTATTATAAATTATTATTATTATTATTATTATTATTATTATTATTATTATTATTATTATTATTATTATTATTATTGAATGCTATTGACTCCTATACGACCACGAGGTCTTTGGCCCATATGATTATTCTGTCTTATTTTACTTCTCATATTTACAGTTCATTGATTAAACTAACTTTTTTTTCATATTTTGCTTATTTTTAATTATTTTTTAAAATTATTTTTAAATTTAATTTTTCGTGTTTAATAGTGTTTTAAATATAATTTCAAAATATATAAAAATTTTATATAGTAATATTAAACTTAATATTATAAAAAAATAAATAAAAAATAACTTCAATTAATTCTCGTTAATTAAACTAGATACATAAAATGAGACGGTGAGATTATTTTGAAGAGTTCTATACTCAAATCTTACTCCCTCAAATTTACTCCTTATATGACGGACGTTGATATGTTATTTTTTCATGTGGGCCCCTGTAAAAGTGTCTACATCAAAGTTTGAAGTGTATGAATAAAAGTTAGGAATAGAGAATGAGACTATATATATATATATATATATATATATATATATATATATATATATATATATATATATATATATATATATATATATATATATATATATAGGGAAGGGATCAGGTGTGGGAATGGCTTCCTGTGCGGTTGTGCGGTTGGACGCACATTAAGCATTAAACTAACGCACGTTAAGTACACACAAACAAAACACTTTAAGAACACAAATTACGCACCTTAAGAACACAAACCACGCACCTTAACCACATAACAAAGCACCTTAAGAACACAAACCACGCACCTAAGGTTTTAAAAATGGTTCACTTTAAATTTTACATAACTGACGCACCTTAAGCATACAAATCACGCACCTTAAATATGAAAATAACACACATTAAGAAGGAAACTCACACACCTAAGTGTTAGCAACTACTCACATTAAGCTCAAACCCACGCACCTTAAGCACAAAACTCACGCATCTTAAGTTTCAACAACTACTACCATTAAGTACATAACCCACGCACCTTTAGCACAAAACTCACGCACCTTATATACAAAACTCACGCACCTTAAACACAAAACCACTAACATTAATGTTGACCTAGATACAAAAATTACCAAATTGCCACCGCTTTTTTTTAAAAAAATTTTGGTAATCTTAGACGTTGATTTAAGCAGAATCAATAACTCGGACGGATGGTTCTAGTTTTAGTTTAGAATGGGAACATAAAGGTTCCAGATCCGATTAGATAAAATTGGGAATTGGGCGATTCTGGTTCCAAACCGGAAAGAAATAATAACAATAACAATATACTTTACAAAAAAAAAAAAAAGAAGAGTTTCGAACTAATGGTTCAAACCGAAATTACAATTTTTCTAAAAGGTTTCGGTTGCGGTTTGCCATTTCCAAAATCGGAACCAAACAATGGTAACATCTACGAACGGGTCTATTAAACTTGTTGACAAGTTCAATTAGGATTGTGCATCGGATGGATTCGGGGGGTTCAAATTTTGAAACCACCCATCCGTTTTGAGTTCGAATTAAAAGTTGTTAACCCAATCTTAAAGATCATATTTGGACACATTCACTCGTATATTCGGTTATTTTTCGGGTTCCAATAAATAATTCAAAAACTAATAAATGTAGTTAAATACTAAGTACAAACTGCAAACTTTCTACTTACAAGTTACAAACTTAAACCTTACAAAATTAAAGACAAAAAACACACGTACAATTGTCAATTGATACTTTGCAATTCACATTTGAGAAAGCGTTAAACACACACACACACACACACAAATATATATATATATATATATATATATATATATATATATATATATATATATATATATGCCCGTTAATGAATACGACAACTCGCGAAATTTAGATGGAGATAGGAATACCCGGTTTTATCACAACTCGGCCCTTATTAGAAAGAACAAAAATCACTTGAGATTCCTTAAAATGCAAGGAACTTGGACCGTTGATCCGATCACATTGTCTAATCACATTATTGACTACTTTTCATCTTTGTTTGACAGGGTTATACTTGATGAAGAGGCAAGGATGACACCGGGGGCTGAGTCCTTTAGAATTTCCACAACCCAAGCAAATAGTTTGATCCGGAGAGAGCCTCTATGGAAGAAGTTAAAAAAGAGACCTTTGGTATGAAGAAGTTTAGGAGTCCTGGTCCTGACAGGATCCCCGCCTTTTTCTATTAGCATTTCTGGGAGGAAGAGGGGCCTGCCTTGACTAGGATGGTTAATCAGGCCCTCGAGTGTGATTCAGTGCATAGATCCCTTCTACGGGCTTTCATGAACCTTATCCCAAAGAAGGATACCCTTGAATCGGCAGCAGACTTTAGACTGATTACCCTCCTCAATGTTGCCTTTAAAGTTATCTCTAAAGTGATCGTCAACAGAATGAAACCCATCATGTGCAAGGTGATCGGCCACTATCAAAATATCTTTTTACCAGGGCGCTTTACTTTGGATAATGTGGTGTTTAACGCAATAGATTATCCACACTATGAATAAGAAGCTTGGAAAGAAAGGGCTTATGGTGGTGAAAGTAGACCTTCAAACAGCTTACGACAGTGTTGACTGGAGTTTCCTAAAGGAGACTATTGAGGGTTTTGGCCTCCTGAGAAGTTTGGTGGACCTCATCCTCTTCTCCCTTAGAGAAAGCGACATCTCTATCCTTTGGAACGGTGGCCGCCTTCCTCCCTTTGTTCCGGGGCGTGGTCTATGACAAGGTGACCCTCTAGCCCCCTACCTGTTCAACCTCGTCATGGAAAGATTAGCTCATGACATCCAGCATGAAATGTCCTTTAAGGTCTTGGAAACTGATCTATATCACTAGAGGAGGAATTTGCATCTCTCATATCTTCTTCGCCGATGATCTTTTATTATTTAGAGAAGCATCGGAGGGCAA